TTGCAGTAACTGAAGCGCTTCGGAACTCGGGTTCCCAGTCTGTCTGCCTCCAGTAAACCGAAAACCCACAATAACGAGGCCTCCGTTCGAGCCATTCTCACGCCGTGGCGCGGCGCGCGGCGGCTCCAGCTGGCCGCCTCCAAACTTCCAAACAGTCGCTCTGTCTCTCTCGGTGCCATGCCGCGTCCTGGAGGAGTGCGACAGAGACAGAGCGACGGGGCTCTGTTCGGAGTCTGGCTCCTGGAACAGCTGTGCGGCCCCGGGGGGAAGGGGGGCGTGAAGGTGGCGAAAGTGGCATGGAGGGCTGGTCGTAGTACGCTGCCGGCTGTGTAGCAGGCCCCGGGGAGGGGCGAGCGCGCACACACAAACACACACACACACGCTCACGCGCGCGCCGGGTGCACTTGGCACAGTGCGAGCGTTGCCATTTAGTTCTGTAGGGCTGTGAGGCAGTGGGTGCTGGCCTACACGGGCCGCTCCAGCTCGGCCGACTCGGTCCAGCTACCGGTACAGTGGTGCAGTCCGTCGGGCCTGGCACACTGTCTGCTGCGCGCTGTCGGGCTGTGATCTCAGCGGGGACTGTACTCGTCGCACAGCCCGTCGTCCTCTGCGTTTCCCGCTGAAATGAAACATTTCTCGGTGTTGGCGATGACTGTACCCGGGGGCTTCCCGCCCCAGCCCATTGACGGCAGCGCCAAGCTCTCGCAGAGGCGCGCTAGTGTAACACGGGCCTCGGATTGTTAGAAAGGAATTTTAGTTGGCAACATTGGCCGTGCACTCGGCGGCTCCGGCGGCTCGGCCGGCTCGGCCAGCTCGGCGTGGAGGCACGGCATGGAGGCACGTTGCGGTGCCGCCACGACAGCCCCGCCGCGACATGTACACTGCACACGGCACCGCCAGCCATCCCCTGTTTCTGCGACACGCGACGCCGTCGTCGGCCCGTTGGCAGCTCTGCCGACGCTGGCTGGCAGCGCAGTGGCAGTGCAGTGGCCGCGTGCAGTGGCTGTGCCGACGACTGGCGGCCCAGAAATGCGGCAGTTGGCAGCTCTGCCGGTGAGATGAGTCATTGGCGCGGCGGCGCGGCGCTGGCGGCAGTAGTGCCAACACCAACGAGATGGACATCGTCGTCAACCGGGCCCTTCGTGGTGCATGGCAGCCTTGGCGTCCTCTGGGTGGGATACTCGCTGCACGGCGGCGGCCGCAGACCCTCCACGGCGGGGGGCAACAGAAGCGACGGCGACCTCGGAGGCGACCGCACAGGGGGGCAGAAGGCCGTTGGAGGCGGCCGAAACTTGATGTGCGTTTTGAGCCGCAGAGTCGCTAAACAGTGCTCGAACCAATAGGGTGACCCCACCAATGGATTCCTCGTTCGGAGAGCAATTCATTGGTGGGGTAACACGTTCGATTCGAGTCTCCGTTAGCGACTCTTCAGCTCGACCGAAACAGAGAACTGAATGAACTAAAAGTCCGAGTGTAGCGGACGGACTGAGAGAAGTGTACGATCGTACGTGTGTCGGCGCATGGACGGAGGAGCATTGCGAAATCTAGGCTAGGTAGTGTCTGAGTAGCCGGGCTGGGCCGAGCGGTGCAGGGCAGGGCGGGCAGGGTGAGGAGGGGCCTCAGAGACACACTTCGCTATTCCGAGCGGCGCGGCGGGCACGGCACGGCGGCGCGCACGGCGCGGGGAGGACACTCCGAAATGTCCGCGCGCAGTCTCGCTCGGGGACCGCGAACTCCAGGCCGAAGTGCACTTATCGGGCCCCTCCCCCTCCCCCTCTTCCTCTGGCCGAAAACGATTACCCCGCATGGGGCTGCCAGCCGCTGGCCGTTCTGGCAGCCACCGCGTTCCGGGCCGGGCCCCGGGCCCGGCCACCCCGGCGGTGGGATAATATTCGCACGAGAGCGCAGCCGCCAGTTCAGGCTCGTTCCAGTGCTGCTGCCTCTCTCGCACTCACGGGGCGTCCCGCAGGGGTGGGAGGGAGACAGAGCGACGCGACACTGTTCGGAATGGGACTCCACTGCAGCGTGCCAGCGCCGCCCGCCGCAATGCGGGGCCCTGGCCTGGCGCAGCCAAACGCCACGTAATTGGCTGCCCCGCCGACCGGCCGACAAAGAGCCGCCCGGCGTCGCTCTGTCTCTCTCGCACCCTTAGGGGCCGCCCCGTGAGTGCGAGTGAGACAGAGCGACGAGAGCGCTGCCGGTGGTGGCGGCCGCCTGCAAGCAGCCGTCGCCGCTCGCGGCCCGGTCGCGGTTTATGCCGAGAATTAGCCGAAGTGACTTGCGATCGCCGACTCGTCGCTCGGTTCGGCGAGCGCGCCAAAAGATCGGCCCGATTTTCGTTGGGAATCGAAGATTGAAGCGCCACTTCGGCCCTTCGGCGCGCAATGCCGAGTGGCGGCCGGCAGGGCGAACGCGCCGCCGCGCCTCGCGGACTCGCGGATGTGGGTCAAATTGTGGGCGTCACTACACCGGGCCGCGGGGCGGGGCGGGGCGGGGCACGGCGCAAAGTGTGTTGTAGGGACACGTTGTGGCCGTCGGGGTGCAACGCAGAGCGCTTGAAAACTATCACGCCAACTCGCCCGCAGCCTCGCAGCTTCGTACACCGATAACCCGTGCCCCCCCCCCCTCTAGAGCGCACGAGAGAGCACTGTTAAACGGGCTGAAAAAAGTATATATATTTTTTTTAATATAGATGGGAATGGACGATGGGAGACCACCTGAACCGCTCAGCCACTCCACTGGACGCGATCCCAGCCTGACCCGGCCTGACCTGCCGCCAAATGCAGATGCTGTTCATTTGGCGCGGCTTGTAGGGCAGCAGGGAAGTGCCAGCGTGCCACTACACCAGGAAGCTCTGCGGGATGCGCGTGAAATGGAAGAATGACAGGTGGGGTCGAGGGCCGAAGCACAGTGGGCCAGAAGACCGGTGGAGGCGGTCAAAATCCCGGACGCGTTTTGAGCTCCAGAGTCGCTTAATGGGACTCGAACCGAACGTGTGACCCCATCAATGGATTGCTCTCTGGACGAGGAATCCATTGGTGGGGTCACGTGCTCGGTTCGAGTCCCCATTTAGCGACTCTGGAGCTCATAACGCCTCCTCAGTTTTTCGCGTCCTCCACCGGTCTTCTGGCCCACAGCACCTTGGCTCGAGTGCGGTCCTCAAAGAAGAAGCAAGAAAAGTAAGAAACACTGTTAAAAAAAATATGAAAATTCAGACTGATTTCGTCTTACTTGGTGGTCTGAATCGTAAATTCATAAAATGGTACGAATATTAAGACCAACTGTCTGAAAAGTTTGACCTGTTGTCTGAAATTTGAATTTAGACTAGCGAGTCTGAATATTTAGAGCGATGGTTATCAAGTTTTGTACATTGTCGTCCGAAAACTAAATTCATACTTGTGAAATCGGAAAACGAGTGAAAAAACTCCGTCCCCTTGTACATTTTTCGATTTTCTCAGAACTTTTATCAATACTACTGTTGTATTTCAAATAATATTTACGTTTAGTGTCGTAAAAGCATAGAGAATGTTTCAGAGCTCCGAAATGGACACTTATTGCTCTATCCGCTAGGTGGCGCTAGTGTCGCATGGACGATCTTTTGGAGCTAAAATTGCCACTTGAAGGCGAAATTGCGAATATTTTGTTACAAACTTATTCCAAGTGATTGTCTGAAAGGGCATGAGCGCACCAAAGCAAGATTCAGGTTAATAAGTGCAGTATAAGCTAAATAACAAAGAATACAATTTCACTCTCGCGCATGGCCACGGGTCGGCGCGTGGTTGGGCTAAGGCCGCTCTCGCTCGCAATTCAGCAGTCACCTCTAGCCTCTTCACCACCTTTGCAAGTAGGAGTCTACTACCGAGTTCCTAATTTTTGAGCCGAGACGATCCGCTGAGCGTCTACGATAAACCGATGGCAAAAGTTCGCTGATTTGTGTTCTACTCTACAGAGTGGCAATGTCTTCAATGTCTTCGTACAACTTAGTCTGATAAAATAGACCGACTGGTATCATTTTTCATACAACATGTTGATCTGAAAATTCAGACTAACGTCGTCTGAAACTTTCAGACCGCGAAGTATGAAAGTTTTGGTATGAAAATTCAGACTGAATGTAAGTAAATCGACTTCTTACAAAAAATTATGAATTTTCAGTAATTTTTTTTAACAGTGAAGAAGATCATCGAACAAACATAGGCCGGCGTCGTGGAACGTACTCGCGCGCACACAATGTTATTGTCACACAGTGTCATTGCTGGTGCAGGCGCTGCAGGAAGAAGAAATCGGATGCCGGCCGGGCAGTGACGCCGTGGGAGAGAGGGGTGCCCTCACTGTCTGGGTTGCAGAGCACTCGCAAGCCACGGGCGGGGCGCGGTTTTGTTTTCATTGCCCAGCACTTGGCGTCGCCCAACTGGTGCAGGCAGGCCAGCCAACACAGACCAAAACGGAGCATGCCATCCACTCCTGGAAATTCATTAATAAATTAGAAAATCCGGAAAAGTGCCCTCCGAGGCATTTCCGGTGCCTTCGTTTTTTTTTCAACCTTGTGCCATACCTGCCAAAAACTCATACAAATATAAAACGCGAAAGATTTAATTTTTTTTTCCGGAGGTCACAGAGGCATTTATTTTTCCAATCAAGTTCACTGAGAGAGCTCCCAAAATTTTCCTTTCACAGTGTCGAAAATGCGAAAATCCGCATACCCGGGTACCCGGTTCTGCCCGTGGACCCGGTCCAACCCGGGCGGGTGGGTAACCGGGTAACCCGGCAAAAGTCAGAGCCCTTACTGTGTGTGCAGCACTGGCTGCCCGTTCGGCCGTTACACGCCGCAGGTTGGCTGCACTGCGGCGAAGGGACGGGGTACAGGGCGGCAGGGCGGCAGGGTAGGGACACTGTCACACCGATGCGCCGCCCTCCCTCCCTCCCTCCCCGCTCGTATAAAAGCGGCGCAGGGCTGCGCAGCTCTACAGTCCTTGGAGCACTCTAGTCGCCCTCACACCACCATGGCGCTCTCTAGGGTGAGTACCAGGCGCCCATGACAAAGAGGCTGAGCATGTCCTGCCGCGGGGTTTTCTCCAGGATTCGGGACTTTCTCTTTACAACTCCGGAAAAAAAGGACAGCTCTTATTCACATTTGTCCACCTGCCTGAGCACACTGAGCCTGAGCATTGCGGTATGCCATTTTTATTCGGGGTGGTTGCCGTTAACGAACCCCGGAGAGGCTCCGCGACCAAGTGACTTTAATTCGGAACTCTGCGCATGGAGCGACATGGAGTATCGATGGTGACATGTTTCTTTGACGACGGGTAGCTCATCATTCATAATCGCAGCCCGGTCTCTCCAAAATCAGTCTGTCTCCGCAAAAACTACATACGGCTTGGCTGACAAGCGGGCCTCTCATCAGTAAAGCTTCACTCCAGGCTCCTGGCTCCCAGGCAACAAGGCTTCGTCGAGGTGATGGGGCGACTCCCACTGACTGATTCCGAGAGTCTGCTTCGGCGCTCTGTCTCTCTTGCACACAGAGGACGTCCCGAAAAGGTGTGAGAGAGACAGAGCGACGAAACGACTCCTCTAGGCATCAGTCTGCTGGGTTTGCCTCCTTCGCATCAACGCGGCTCAAGCTCTGTTCCCGACGGCCCTTCGACTGCTTTTTGGGCGATGGCCGCCGTCGCGGCAGTAAGTCCGAGTGGCGAGTATTCAAGTCTTCGCAGATGGCCGGGTACCAGGTGGACCGATCGGAGCCCTACCCCAACTGCCTTTCGCCCAGCCGCGGCAGCACCACTGGGCTCCTCGTGCGAAGGCCGACCCGCCAACCCATTGGCAGTGCAGGCACCACGACGTGTCGAGTTCGAGTCCCCTGGGGCTGCCTGGGGCTGCCGCGCGCTAAACGCGTCCAGCGCCGCGTCCGCCCGAACAGGTCTCCGCGGCGCCGCGTATCCGCCATTGATCTTGGCCTACCTCACGTCGCGTCATCGCCGTGCCCCTCCCTGTAATGATCTGACCTGCCTCAACACAGACCGACCGGCCGAGCGGCCCGCCTACCCACCCGGCCGCCCGTCCGCCCGCCCGTTCGTCTATACACCTTCACACTGTGCGTTACTTCACGGTTTTGAAGAATCGCGCGAAACGGCAAAACGCGTCTCTCGGCAGTGTAGTGCACGGGCGCGCAGTGCTTGTTACCGGTGATGCAACTCGCCCCCACTCCGCGCGCGCCGCGCTCCGCGCCACGCACTCCAGAGGGCAGCACTGTCGCAGGCGGTCGCAGGCCTTGTCACGCGCAGCACAACGAGACCCTTTGCATCGCCTCCCCGCGATCGTTTTGAACTTCTTTTGTTTCAGTGTCAAGCAGGCCCGAGCAGGCCGCAGGGCCGCAGGGCCGCAGTCCTTGTCTCCCCTCCTTGAACGCGGCCTCGGCGGCCTCCTTGTTGCAGACGGTGCTCTTGGCGGCGCTGTGCGTGGCGAGGTGCGCGGCGCGCCCCGGGGACCTCGGCCACTACGGCCCCGTGGCCTACGCCCCCGCAGCCCCCATCCACTACGCCCCCGCGCCCGTGGCCTACGCCCCCGCGCCCGTGGCCTACGCACACGCCCCGGAGCCCGTGGTGAGTGCGACGCTGGGGGACGCCAACCAAACCGTCGCATGGGCCAGAAGACCGGCGCAGGTGGCCAGGTCCAGATGCGTTTTGAGCTCCAGAGTCGCTTAATGGGACACAAACCGAAAGTGTGGACCCCCACCCATGGATTCTTCGTTCGGAGAGCAATCCATTGGTGGGGTCACACGCTCGGTTCGGATCCCCCCGACTCTGGAGCTCAAAATGCGTCCGGGATTGGACCACCTCCACCGGTCTTCTGGCCAATGCACTGTGTGGCGGCTGCCAAGGCGCCTCCGCCGTTTCCCTGCACTGGGAGGCTGGGAACCAGCCAGATCCGAAACCTTCAAAATCTGCAAGAAGAAAGACCGCTGCGATTTTCTGCCATTAAGGCTAGTCGAACGCCGTTGTCGGGGCTCTCTGTGTCGTGGTCGGAATGACCGGTTCAGATCGCGTGCATTTGCAAGTCAAAGAACGGCGCACCGCGCCACGCCATGCCTCGCAGGGGGTACCAACCTTGGTGCCGCCTTGCCGCGCCGCGCCGCGCGCTCGGTTCGACTCTGACTCTGCTGGAGCGACTTTGCGATCGGCTTTGCGCTGCAGCGCTCGCATTGCTCTGCAGTGAACTCCAAATTACTTGAAGAAGGCAGTGGCGTGACGGGCAGCCCAGCAGGCCGGCCCAGGCCAGCCTTGCCGCCCGGCCCATTGCCAACCAGTACGTGGACTGGAGCACCATAATTATTAATAAGACTAGAACACGCGCAGGGGCTGCCCGCTGGCCCGCTGCAGTGTCCAAGCCGTGGCAGTGTAGCTGTGATGAATTATGAATTGCAACCGGCTCGTTAACGCACTATAAAATTTCGCGCCTGGATTAGTGTCTCGCTTTTATTTATTTTTAGAGTGCATTGTACTTTTCTGTTCATGTTTTTTTTCGGTTGGTGGTGCAGTTATACCTAACTTCGCAACCTCTCTCCTCCAGGCGCACCCCAAGTACGAGTTCAAGTACGGCGTCCACGACGCGCACACCGGCGACGTGAAGAGCCAGACGGAGCACCGCGACGGCGACGTGGTCAAGGGCGAGTACTCCCTGGTGCAGCCCGACGGCACCACCAGGACCGTGCACTACACCGCCGACGACCACAACGGCTTCAACGCCGTCGTCACCAACACGGGCCACGCCGTGCACCCCGAGGCCCCCAAGGTGAGCGTCGAGCAGTGCAGTACCTCAAAGTGTTTTAGCAACGCCGTCTGACGCCTTCTCCCTCTCAGGTCATATACGCCCCCGCGCCGGCGCCCGCCCCTCTAGTGTACGCGCACGGCCCCGCCCCGGGGCCGTACCTACACTAGCAGGCCGGCCCCGCCCCGCCGCCCGTCCTGGAAGGACTCGCGGCCGGCCGGCCGGCCCCACAGACTGCGGCGCCGCGCCGGGATGAGAAACTCAGCGGCGCGTTCCGAGTGGAGTGGTTCCGAGGGCCGAGGACGCGGCGCCGGCGACGCGGGAAGCGAGTATGAGAAATCGCTGCCTCGGAAGAGAGGCATCGCCGCGGCGGTCGGGAGGGGCGACTACCCGACATCGCACAACTGTGTCGCGTGGACGACTAACGAACACGGTGCTCGTCAAGTCACTTGATGGCTTACATGGCTAATTTGTACAAATGTTGTTTTTTTTACAATAAAAAAATGTTACATTTTTCATAACACGCCCGTTTTATTTCGTGTGAAAGGGTCCGAAAGGGAAATCGAGTAAAGACAGGGGCTTTGCCGCCCGTCGTCCGGCCCACTTTGAATTGCGGTCATTATGCAGTGCCGCAGCATATCTAGATCGCGCAAGTGCTGCACTCCGAAAGGGACACCGCCTCGACGCCACGACGGGAGGGGGGATTTTTTTGCCGCGGCCGTTTCGATGTAAATCATCACCCTCGTCCTCGAGGAGGTGCCGCGACACACTGTGACACATCACACAAAGAACAACAAGAGCGACGACAGCCGCCGTACCAAAAACAACAACAAGTGGTTTGGTCGTTGGCAGGCGCGTAGCGCACGTTGCCTCCCGAAACAGAGAACGGCGCGGCTGGAACGAGGAAGCGAGAGTCCCGTCTGGCAGTGCAGTGGTGCAGCCCAGTGCAGCAGTGCAGCCTGGCCGCGCGCCAGCCACCGCTGCAGCGGCATGCCGCCGCCGGCAGCTGCCCCGCCGTGCCGCCACCCACAACGACCTGCGCGAAAACCGAAAACAGAAAAGAGCGCGCGTCCCTCTTGAGGGTCGAACCCGTCACTCGGCCTCGGTGGCCTCCGCCTTTCGAATCGGGCAGTCGACTCGCGGACGCCGCAGCCGTGGCACCGCCCGCCCCGGCAGGGCAAGCCCCGGTCTCACGCAGACACGAACCCTTGACTCAGGCAATGGAACTGGTCCATGACCGTACAGGTTGGTGAACTGGGCCGGGCCGATCTGGGGCGTGGCGGTGTGGGGCGGGGCGGGGTGGGGTGTGGTGGGGCGGGGCCTGCGTAGGGGTACACCTGCGTGGCGGGGGCAGGGGGCTGAGCAGGGTGGGCCGGCCGGTAGAGGGAGGCAAGGCACCACCCGATACAGTCAGTATAAGAGGCGGGTGGGGCGAGGGATCCAGTGCAGTCCACAGCCACCGTCCAACCAACCACCATCCCAACAGAAACAACAATGTCCCCCGTTCAGGTACGTTCCAATGGCACACCGAAGGACATTTTAACCGGGTGGACAGTTCGCTCTGAAAGTTCCCGTCCCACCCCTACGCACGCTCCCCGAAAAAGTACTGGCCATTCAACTGGTTATTTTTTGAAAAGAAAATTTTAATTGTAATTTTGGAGTCAATAAGTATCAAAGGAGGCTTGGAAGCTGCTTTTTCAACTACTGCAACAGTCAGCCAATTTTTCTTTTTCTTTTTTTTTTAAAAAAGTGTCTTGTATTGTTCTAGGTATGTTTTGAAGTAGTAAAGGTATCATCTACTGAAAAGTACAAATTGTCATGAGAAAGTACGCTTGGGACAAATTTTATGACCAGGAAGCGACCAAGAACCATGACACCGGCCCAAGCGCGCTGCGTGCGGGCGTGCGGGCCTGCGGGCCTGCGGGTGGCTGCCGCACAGTGGGCCAGAAGACCGGTGGAGGCGGCCAAAACTCTAGGCGCGTTTTGAGCTCCAAAGTCGCTAAATGGGACTCGAACCGAACGTGTGACCCCACCAATGGATTCCTCGTTCGAAGAGCAATCGATTGGTTGGGTCACACGTCCGGTTCGAGTCCCATTTAGCGACTCTGGAGCTCAAAACGCGTCTAGAGTTTTGGCCGCCTCCACCGGCTTCTGGCCCACTGTGTGCCGAGGGTGTCCTGCAGGACGAATCGCGTCTGATCCCGATAAGAGCGTCAGCAGCGACGGCAGCGCCGCACGGGTTGCTCAACTGCGGCCTCCCTCCGAACAGTGCCAGGCCGTGTCTACCCTCTCTCTCGCACTCACGGGCCGCGCCGGAGGGGTGCGAGAGAGACAGAGCCACTTTTCGAAACGAGCACGCCGACTCGTTGCGTGCATGAGTCACGACACGGCCACTACTGTGCGGCTACTTGCAGTTAGTACACTGTCAGGTGTGTTCCTCGTTCTAATGAGAGGACCCGTACACCGCCCCGCCGCGCCCCCAACTTGCATCACACCGCATTCGCTCGGCGACACGGAAAAGGATACCCAAGTGCAGCGCGAGGCCTGACTGCATTTCGGCGACTGCCTCTATTTGTCAACCGCGTCGCAGATAAGCGGCCCGTTCCCGTCCTTTGGCGGGGCTCCTGCCGGTAGGCAGCCCGTCTCACGCGTTGGGCAATCCGTCGTCCAGCCAGAGGGCTGGCTTGGCGTTCTCCAAACACGAGCTCGATAAGGCGCAAGGCTGCGGGGTTGGAGCGTGACCGATTCGCCTTCCACGCAACGTTCCCTCGAAACCGGGAGCGGCGGTTCATGTCAAGCAGCGCCGCACACAGTGGATTTGCCAGGAGATCGGCGCCGGCGGCCAACACACTAGACGCGTTTTGAGCTCCAGAGTCGCTAAACAGGACTCAAACCGAGTGTGTGACCCAACCAATGGATTCCTCGTTCGGAGAGCAATCCATTGGTGGGGTCACACGTTCGGTTAGAGTCCCATTTAGAGACTCTGGAGCTCAAAACGCGTCCGGACTTTTGACCGCCTGCAGCGGTCTTCTGGACCAACTACGCCGCATCGACAACCACGCACAGCACGCAACACGCGCGGCACAGCGCCCGGTGATCCATGTGAAGTCCTGGGGTCACCGTCGGCCGGGATTAACGGATCTTGTTTATCATCCAGAAATCAGCTGATGGGCCGCATTCGTGCACCTATCGAACAAGTACCGAGACAAACCCAAACACAAACCCAAGACGACTGAAGCAGTTTCCTGACCGCAGTGGTGGTGTTGCAGGTCCTGGTGGTGCTGTCCCTGGTGGCTGCTGCCGCCGCCCAGTACGGCCACGGCGGCCTGCTGCTGTCCCACGCCCCGGTCGCCGTGCACCACGAGCCCATCGTGAGTGGCGAGGCGCCGTCACGCCAAAAGGGTTGCCTGCCGCCACGGCGGCGGCCGCGCTGAGCTAGACTAACCACCGGCTTGCCTCCGCTGTTGCAGGCCCACCCAAAGTACGCCTTCAAGTACGGCGTCCATGACGCGCACACCGGCGACGTCAAGGACCAGGCTGAGGAGCGCGACGGCGACGTGGTGAAGGGCGAGTACTCCCTGATCCAGCCCGACGGCACCAAGCGCACCGTGCACTACACCGCCGACCACCACAACGGCTTCAACGCCGTCGTCTCCATCAGCGGCCACGCCATCCACCCCGAGACCCCCAAGATCGTCCACGCGCCCGTGCTCGCGTACGGCCATGGCCACTACTAGACTGCAGCGCCGGCGCCCTCATCACCATCGTCATCACCTTCACCGCCATCCCCTCCCCGCGGACCCAACGACTGTGCGCCTGGCCTGGCTGGAGGAGTCTGGAGGGCCCTAGAGGACCCACCAGAATCCTTCAGAGTCCCAGCGGAGCCTCGAAGAGCACCGCCCGGCCACGCGGCCTCGCGGGGAGGCCTTGTACAAACTGGAGGGCAACCCGTCCGCCAGGGGAAGCACCATTCCCAAAACTTGTGATATAAAATAAAAATAAAAAATAAATAAATTAATAAGAACTTGAGCCATAGTTCTTCTCGCTGTCACCGTCTTCACGACGAGGCGGCGGGACGGTGGAGGCCGGGGTCCCTCGGGCCTGCGACGCCCTGCGACGCCCTGCGACCTCCTTGCCGCTAATCTGTCGCTGCGCCTTGGCTGCGCCTTGCAATAGCCCGCGATCTTGTCCGTTTGTCATCATCGATACGTAACGTGCAAGGCGGCAAGGCGGCGATCGTAAACCTAGTTAGGGCGGTCTGCGCCTCGGCCTGCAGGCCGCACAGTGGGCCAGAAGACCGGTGGAGGCGGCCAAAACCGTAGACGCGTTTTTAGCTCCAGAGTCGCTAAATGGGACTCGAACCGAACGTGTGACCCCCACCAATGGATCGCTCTACGAACGAGGAATCCATTGGTGGGGTCACTCGTTCGGTTCGAGTCCCATTTAGCGACTCTGGAGCTCAAAACGCGTCTAGAGTTTTGTCCCCCTCCACCGGTCTTCTGGCCCACTGTGCGCCGGGCCGTCCAGGGCGATACAGATAACGGGCTGCATTGCGCAAACAACTGGCATGAGTGCGGCTCATGATTCCCAGTCGTCTTCGGCACGAGAGGGGAAAAAACGACCAAATTGCTGCAATTTAACAACAACAACAACATCAACAAGAGTGACAGGGCCGTGGCGGGTCAGGGGGACAGGGTCTTGAGGGTGACGGCGGCGCCGCGACTCAAATCCGGGCGAGTGCGAGCAAATGCAAGCGAATGCAAGCGCGAAATGCGGCCCGGTGGCCCCGAGGCCCTTTTCTCCTTTCCCTCATTATCTGCGGTTGACACGGCCATATGCCTCTCTGCGGATCTCGAGATCTCGAGATCGAGTTCGATGATTGGCCAACGCCGCTGGCCAATCGGCGTCATTCCCCATCGAGGCACGCGCCGTGGCGTCGCCTGGCGTGGCGTGCCGTGCCGTGCCGTGCCGTGCCGTGCCCTGCCGTGGCGTGCGCGGCCGCGTGGACGCGGGCAGCGGAAGAAACTGTGAAAGGATCCGAAAGGAATGATGACGTAATCAGCCGCGGGGCTCCAAACGGCGCGGCGAGCCGCTACCGAGACTAATCAGCCACCGCCTTCATCGCTATATAAAAATTTCACATCTGACAAAAATTAAAAAAAAAAAAACTTTTCTGAAAAAAAAATAGACGTTAACAAAAGAACGATAGATGCGTTGCTGCTTCCATCCTCCTCCACATTTTTAATGTTTTTTTCGCAGCAACGCGTTGCAGGCTGCTCTTCGCCACGCCCCTCGCCTTCTTCGGGCTGCACCGGTGCTCCTTGCCAGCCTTGCCAGCCTTGCCAGGTCCGATTTCTTTCCCAAAACCGGAAACCGGAGTACTCAACGCTACGTCCGCGTCTACGCGCTGCTGGAAGCGCTGGAGAGGTAGTGGCTGGAACTGGAGGAGTAGGCAGCCAGTCTTTGCACGGCGTAGAATGCCTGCATCCAGACCGCCTTCCTTTTTTCCTCTCTTTTGTTTTGCGTCACGTGTGTGAGTGTTCTCGTGTGTGTGCGTGAGTGTGTGTGTGATGAGCTAACTGGTGTATGTGTGTGTGTGTGAGCCAGGCTGCTGCCAGGGAATCGGGCCCGATTTTTACTCATCAACACTAGCCAGGCTCCAGCCACGCCGGCGGGCATTTATAACAAGTCCTCCCCAATGCAGTCCCACGGTGGCACCCAATTGGGCACATCCTGGCATGTGTGTGTGTGTGTGTGTGTGTTTGCTGTTGTGTGTGAGTGGGTTGAGGGGCGTCCTTACTGCTAGAGGAAGAACCCTCAAGCAGAGGTCAAAGATTTTGAAGAGCAAAGAGGGTCACCTTTTAAGCGCGAATGTGCGAGCGTGTGTGTGAGGTGTGAGAGAGAGGGGGGGAGAGAGATAATTTGGCGGCAAGGAGGAGACGGTGCGCTTTGTTAGGCTTCCTGCGGCTCGCCGCCGTGACGCAAACCAACTAGTACTCCGTAGACAATGGACCCGCTAACTCTCTCACACACATGCACACACGCGGCACACACGCGGCACACTCGTGAAAAGGGAAGGTTTACGCTGCAACCAGTTGGAATTAAATCGGGGCCGAAAAATCTGGCCAGATTTGGCCAGATCCCAAGTTGCTCTCCGAACGAGGGGTCGGGTCACACGTTCGGTTCGTGTCCCGTTTAGTGACTCTGGAGCACAAAACGCGTCTAGAGTTTTGGCCGGCGCCGGTCTTCACTGCGCGCCCTTCCCCGCGGCAGCGTGCGGCGGCGCGCGTGTGGACCAACTGGTGCTGTCCACGCGTGCGCGAGCACGTCAGCGAGCACGTCAGCGCGCACGTCAAGGCGCGCGTCGTCGCCATCCTAGCGGCGCGGCGGCGCCTTTCCAGTGACGAAACACCCTCAAAATGCAACGTCGCGGTGCCGCCGTCGTCTCCCCGTAGGGCCGGCCGGGGCGGGGCGGGGCGGGGGGGGGCGGGCCCTGAGGCTGGAGCACGCGCAGGCTGGCGTGTGTGCCGAGTGGGGCGTGTGCCGGGCGCGCGTGCACTGCCGCCTGCTCATGGGCTTTGCGGGGGCCCGGCTCCGCCACGCCGCCACGCCCGCCACGCCCGCCACGCCTCCCGCGGCCCCGCCGCCACCGCGGCGTGCGTGTGTGACGCGGCTGGACGCGGCTGGACGCGGCGCCCGACTCTCCCAAATCCCCAAGGCCACGGCGCCCCGCCCCGCCCGCCCCACCCCGCCCCGCGCGCCCTTGTTACACGGGGGCTGCCCTGCAATCCTATCCATTCGGGTAACGGTTCGTCTCGGCCCGCCCACAGCCCTGGCCGCCCTGGCCGTGCAGGCCGGGCAGCCATAACAACGCCAAGCCGTGCTGGCGTGCTGGCCGGCGGGCGGACGGCTCGGGATTTGTTTGCCCTTCAATGTATTTCTCAAGACGAGAGACGAGGCGACAACAGGATCACTGAGCGTTCCAGGGCAGTGAGATGAAAAGTCACGTCCAAGGGGCCAGAGCTACCAAGGGAGTACGATTTGCCGCCTGTACTCAATCCAAATCACGATTTCTTCATGTACATTCATGTACATGTTCATGTACTAAATGTACATTTAGTGCACCGGCATTTTTCACGTTTGTCAATTTTGCCGTGCTACTGCTTCCTGAACTATGTTCAAGCCTCCAGTGCCGTTAAAGTAGCGCGGTGGCATACCCCCATCCCATGATCCGGTCCGGCAGGCAGGGTGGCGCCCAGGCCGTGCTTGCCCTGCTTGCCCTGCTTGCCGTGCTTGTCGGCCGCCAGGTGGTTTGCGCGTCATTTTTGGCTCGCTGGCTACGGCCAGGAATGCCGCGTTGCACGCGTTGCGACAGGGCGGCGCCTGGCGGTGCCTCGGTGCCCTTGGACGCGGAGACCGCCATGGTCCAGGACAGGATGGAGGGACGCGGGGATGGGCTTTAACGAGCGAGCGCCCCCCTGGAGGGGGAGGGGGGGGGACGCACGCCGAGGGGCCCGATCTAGATCCGCGGCCCGCCCCCCCGCCCCGCCCCGCCCCACCGCGCCGCATAGCGACGCGTAGGGCGCGTGCTTTTGCACGGCGCGGCGGGTCCAACGAACGTCCTTGCTCGCCCTTGGTCCGCCCCTCTCCTCCCCTCCCTCCGAGCCGCCACGCCGCCACGCCGCGTCGGTCGCATCTCACTCGTCACGGTGCTCGCCTGCTCCGGCTGCTCCGGCTGCTCCGGCTGCAGACTAGATTCCGAGAGTCGTTTTCGTCGCTCTGCCCCTCTCGCACCAAGCCGGGACACCCATGAGTGTGACAGAGACGCAGCGATGAGAACGACTCTTGGAATGAGTCTGCCGCTCGGCCGCCAGACGGGCTGGCGCCACGTCCTTTCTGGACCGACGACAACGAGCCTCGCGGCGTCTGCAGTGGCCTGGCAGTGGCCTGGCAGTGGCCTGGCAGTGCCTGGCAGTGCCTGGCAGTGCCTGGCAGTGGCCTGGCAGTGGCCTGGCAGTGCCCTGGCAGTGGCCTGGCAGTGCCTGGCAGTGGCCTGGCAGTGCCCTGGCAGTGGCGTGGCAGTGCCTGGCAGTGCCTGGCAGTGGCCTGGTAGTGCCTGGCAGTGGCCTGGCAGTGGCCTGGCAGTGGCCTGGTAGTGCCTGGCAGTGGCCTGGCAGTGGCCTGGCAGTGGCCTGGTAGTGCCTGGCAGTGGCCTGGCAGTGGCCTGGCGGTGCCTGCGATGTCCGCGGCCGGGGGACGACGACGACGACGACGCCATGGCTGCTGTCGTCCCGCTGACGTCGCCGGCGCGGCGTGAGAGTGCATAAAGCCCTCGAGCTGGAGGTGGCCGAGGTGGCCGCGGTGGCCGCGGATTGCCCTGCAGACTGATTCCGAGAGTCGCTTTCGTCAATCTGTGCCTCTCGCACTCATGGGGCCTCCCGCTCGGGTGCGAGAGAGTCAGAGCGACGAACACGACTCTCGGAATCAGTCTGCTGGCAGCCAATCTGGAGCCACGGCGCGGCGCCCGTTGGGAAACTCGAACCTCGGCTGCCTTGTTATTCTTTATGACGTTTTCATGCCGCCCTGGCTGGCTGGCTGCTGGCCGGCTGGGCGCGCTGGCTAGTTTACTTTGTGATTTCGCCCACCCTTTCTTGGCACCGCGTGGTGGGCGGCCCGCTTCACCCGCACCTCCCTCCACCCCGAGATCATCAATGGGCGGAAGGACACGCCGAACACGATGCCAAGGACCGCGAGCCTCCGCGGCCACGGCGCCGTGGTCCATCACACTCATCAACTAGCGGCACTGAAAACGGCGCCGCAAGGGCACTGCAGTGATCATCATTATGCACAACCAACATCATCATCATCATCATTATCAGCGCTGTCTAGTCCTTTTGCAGACAAAACTCAAACCGGTACTGATTCACAGTGCACCTGCTGCTCCACCGCTTTGCACGGAAGACGCAAGCGCCGGCCGCGCTAACCAAGCGACAACGACGAGGGGTGTGCGCCAGCCTGCACACTGATTACGAGAGTCGTTTTTCGGCTCTCTGACTCTCCCACACGTAAACGGGGCGCGCATGGAGTGCAAGAGCGACAGAGCGACGAAAACGACTCTCAGAATCAAGTCTACAGCTGCACACAAGGTGCGCACTAAGCCCCCGCGCTCTGACCGCCACGGCGGTGCAACGTCACGGCGCCCTTCTTCGAGGCGCCCAGATCGAACCCGACGGACACTGAAGGGATTACGACAGGCCGCGCCCCGGCCGCCCGCAAGGAGTCCGTGTGGTCGGTTGAACGCCCCGGCCGTGCTAATTGGAATGGGAACGGGACGGGCCGTGCATTGCCGTGCATGCATGGGCAATGGGAGCCTGGCGGGCGGCAGTGGCACGCCACGCCACGCCTCGCCACGCCTCGCCACGCCACGGGATGTGAAAGGAAGGTCACGAAGGAATCGGGAATGGAATGGGATTCGGGGCCGGCGCCACATGCCACACGCACCAACGCCACGCCCCGCCCCGCCGACCGGAGAGCGAAATGGAAATGGTAATGGGCTCCGACCAACACTTCTTCACCTTGCGCTTTGAAAAGTTAGAATAGAAGAGAGGGGGAGGCGTGTTGGAACCAATGCCCCGGAGTTGGGGTTGAGAAAGGGTGACTGTCGTTTGAGTCAAGCCTGGGAGGGCTGGGCACTGCACCACTGCAACGGGGGCACGTATTCCAAAGTGATGTGGCTCACCAGGAAAACTTTGCCCCGCTTTTGATTACAGAATGCCTGGGCCGACGCATGGGACGCACTCTTCCCACACATACACACAAAGTACTACACAACTGACCCACACCAAGTACGAAATTGAGACAAACGATGGTGGACTGGAGGACTAGACCCAGTGTGGGTAAAAACGAGCCTCACAGACCGCGGAAGAGAGGGAAAGAGCGCTACCCTGCACGGTTATTGCAACCGGTCTCTGTACCCACGACCTGCCGCGGCGCCGCGGCCCGCTCAGCCGAAAACGCACGCTGCTTACGTGACAATAAAGGGGATCACATGGCCACGAAAAGGCGCACCCATTACGCACTCCGGAAGCAGAGGGGATTCGTTTGAGGCGCTCTGTGAGTGAACGCTTCTTTGGAATGTCCTGCATGTCCCGAAAGCACCTGTGCAGCGCCACCACGGTCGTTTGAATGCGGAGCATCCCGGGCAGGACCCTCTCCTTCATTTCAATGCCCAGTCCCTACTCCTCGTGGCCGCTCACCCAGTCCAGCCCCGCCATGGGCCCGCCATGGGCGCTGCAGCCCCGCCCGCCGCGCCCCGCCGCGCCCCGCCCCTCCCGACGCGCCCCGCCCCTCCCGACGCGCCCCGCCTCGCGGCGCCAGGAGGCCCGGGCCACTGGGACCCCTTCTCCGCCCTCTCCCTTCTCAATTTTGGAAGTGGAGCAATTTTTCGGTGGTGCCCGCTGTGGCCAGGCTCCGCCAGGCTCCACGCGCACGTGGTATAAAAGGCGGCGGTGGGACTGCAGGCGCCACAATCCAGTCTCCGCTTTCCTCCGAGCAGTTTGTGTGTGGTGCACTCCCATCTCGTTTAGAATGGCGTTCTTCAAGGTAGGGCAGGACATCACAAGTGCAGTGCCAAGGATTACCCCAAGTGCTTCAGTGAACTCAGTGCCTCTAGCTGGACTTAGTGCTTCGCAGCAAAGAGAAACTATCGGCCTTTCCGGATACATACTTGGATACTTGCGCCGGAGTGTGGTAGCTGTGCGGTGCGCGGCTGGTGCTGACTTTGGTCGTTTGTGTTTAGGTGCTGAGCTGCATGGCTGTGCTCGCTGTGGCTGCCGTCTCGGCCGCTCCCGGATACCTGGAGCAGCCCGTGTACGCCCACGCCGTGCACGCCGCGCCGCTGGCCGTGGCCCACCACGAGGCCGAGGACTACCATGTGCGTCAACAGGATCAAACCTGAGAGTTTGTTGTTGTTGTCAAAAATCATACTGATTTTGTCCATGCTCTCTCAGGCCCACCCCAAGTACGCTTTCAAGTACGGCGTCCACGACGCGCACACCGGTGACGTGAAGAGCGCCTCCGAGCACCGCGACGGCGACGTGGTCAAGGGCGAGTACTCCCTGCTGCAGCCCGACGGCACCACCCGCACCGTGCACTACACCGCCGACGACCACAACGGCTTCAACGCCGTCGTCACCAACTCCGGCCACGCCGTCCACGCCGAGGTCCACGCCGCCCCCGTCGTCCACCACGCCCCCGTGGTCCACGCGGCGCCCGTCCTCTCCTACGAACACGGCTACAGCCACCTTGAGTCGCCCTACGCCCACTACTAGGGCCCCACGCCCTTAGCGGAGTGTCCCTTGCCTGCCGCCTGCACCGGGGCCTGGGCTGCTTGACCATAGTTGCCCAGCGCCCCAGCCAGGCAGGCGCCTTGCGACGGACACGAATCATCATTCTTCGCCTTCTTCGCCATCACCCTCGTCATCCTCACGCACCGCGACGCCACCACCACAACACGGTCGCGGGCAGCAAAGTTCCTCTACATCATCGAACATCACCATTCTTCATCACGTAGACTCTTCGAGTCAACTAGTCAAGCGCTGTAATACCAATGCGATGCTGAGAAGTACATTGCTGTAAAGTTGAAGCGAATCAAATATATTTTCTGTGGTAACTGCTCAATAGTACGGGATCGTTTTCTTACCCTCTTCCATAAAAAATAAAACGAGTAAGGGGCCGTTAAAACAAAGCAGGGAAGTCACAAACTTTCTCTTGTGAATCACTAGTCTGATTAGGAAGAAAAACTGTCCCTTTAGATTGATTCTCCAATTATACTCCTTTGTGCTTTGAATAATTTTGCCACATAAGATCGAATTGGTTCCATAATACAAGTAGTACAAGGCCAAAAGTGGATAGACTTAAGCAACCTTGCAAGACTGTTGCGAAAAAATTGTTTTTAAACCAATAAATTACAAGCAAAAAGGGGGCCGAAGATAGCTCTGTACTGCAACGATGAGGGTCCCAAACTACTGTCGAATGGGGAACCAAGATGGCGCCGCGACAATGGGAGTCCCATACTACTGTCGAATGGGGAACCAAGATGGCGCCGCGACAATGGGGGTTCCATACTACTGTCGAATGGGGAACCAAGATGGCGCCGCAACAATGGGAGTCCCATACTACTGTCGAATGGGGAACCAAGATGGCGCCGTGACAATAGGGGTTCCATACTACTGACGAAGATCAGCCCACTGGAAGCGCTCGCTTGGCGGCGCGCTCGGCCTGCTCGTGCTGGATGCGGGTCATGGTGCGCGTCCTCTGCGTCATCGTGAAGACGACGTGAATGGAGCGATGGCGTGCGCGCGCCGCGTCACGCAACGGAACGCGCACGCTCGCGCACGGGACGGCGCGCGCGTGATTTCTTCACGCCTCGGTGTTGAAACAAGAGCACGCCGCTGTGGGTGCAGTGCGCTGCGCGGAGCAAGACACGCCTAGTTGACAGGACACAATGACCCCCGTGCCGTCGTGCCGCACCCCCGAGTGGGTATCATCTGCATGGCAGGCTGCCTCCGAACGGTGCTTTCGCCACCCGGTCTCTCTGGCACTCATGGGGCACCTCGCAAAGGAGCGAGAGAGACGGGATGAACCTCGCTGCCCCGCGTGCCTCCGCGTGCCGCCAGCGCCTTGGCGTGTCAGACCTTCTCTTGCGCGTCCTCGTCGCTTGCGCCGGGAAGTCGCGGACTGTCGCCTTTGTTTTGCCTCACGTAACAACAACAGCTCATCGCACTCGCCTAAATGTGTGCCAATACGACCGTCCCTGTCTTTGTTGTCATTGCGCGTGGAGAACATACCCTTGCACGGCGGGCCAGAGGACCGGTGCAGGCGGACAAAATCCCAGGCGCGTTTTGAGCTCCAGAGTCGCTAAATGGGACTGAAACCAGCATAAGACAAAGAGAGGCGGGTGTAGAGAAAGAGGTTGAAGACGGGGCGATATGGCAAAATGTTTCTACTTTTTACAGAGTCAAAGTGCGACCTTTCTTTACCCTCCTCCCAGGTGGCTTTGGCTGCTTCGAGGGGAAGACAGAGGAGGGGATGAAATAACATTTCCATTTCAACAAAAGGGCTACCCGTATTCATTCCATCCTTGACATTGTTTGATTTTGTAAGATGTCCTTTCCTCCATCTCAGCGCATGGGCCGCAAGGGGTCAGCGTATAAAACTTTCACAAATAAGTGATGCTCGTTGTGAGTATTCCTCCTCCCACACGGCACGACTCGGACGGACATAAGTAGCGGCAAGTCACGCAATACGACTGGGAGCGAGTTCTCACTCATGTCCACATTTCTCTGTGTGAACTGAAGAAGCGACGACCCACCACTGTCCTGTCCCGGCCTGGGAAAATGATGCCACACGCGCCTTTTTCCGCTTTTCCTCTCGATTTTCTTTTCTGCGGAGAAAACTGCCGTGTGACGGGCAGGCCGGAGCGGACCCAATCGCATAGAGTGAGGTTACCTAAACGCGCGCGAACGGCACTAACGCACATTTCCCGCGCCGCGTGGCCCAGCGTCGCCAACCGGAGAGCGACGCATGGCGGCAGCGCGGCCGGAGCCTCGGCATGTCCTGGAACAGGAAGCGGCGCGGGGCGACGATTGACGGCGGGATGACAGGCGACAAACACTGCATTATCCCACTTAGCCGGCCCCCTCCTCCTCATCCCTTCCCCTGTCCACTCCAGTTTCCGCTCCAGCAGCGCGGACGGCCCGGACGGGTGTGGCAGGGGCGGGACAAGGGGATGGATGTGGGAAGGAAAGAGGGGGAGGGAAGCACCGGCAGGCTGCCGGCGGCATGCACGCTGTGTCGTCACCGCCCCTGGAGGAAGGGGTGGGAAATAGAGCGCAAGGCAGGGATGCACTGGGCGGCCTGGGGTGGGGGTGGCCAAGGGGGCTCGTATATATAACCACAGGTGCAGAAGGCGAGTGCAGTTATTTCTGTTTACTTGAGTGAGGAACATCTTCGGAAAACATCTTAACCACCGCCATGGCTTACCTCAAGGTACAATCCAGTTCAAGACCAAGTAGTGTCGTGTGTGTGAGCCAATCGGATTTCTACAGTGCAGTGATCATCGTGAAGGATAGTGCACCGGAGTGTTTTCGAGTGAATGATAGATACGGAGGAACAACTTCTCATTTTCAGAAGACAAAACGCGCTGTTGGACTTGGAGTTTCACGTTCAATAGTTTTTAAAGGAGTGGTGTGTGCCCTCTGACGAGCCTTTCTTTGCCTTTCCAGGCAACCGTTGTCTTCACCCTCGTCGCGCTGACCGTCGCCCTGGCCCACCCAGTGTACGAGGAGGAGCATGAAGTCTACGTCAGTACACCACCGATGAAACCACCTCGGCGTGAAGGTTCCGACAACTTAACATCCATTCTGTGTTCCCGCAGGCCCACCCCAAGTACTCTTACAAGTACGGCGTCCACGACGCGCACACCGGCGACGTGAAGAGCGCCTCCGAGCACCGCGACGGCGACGTGGTCAAGGGCGAGTACTCCCTGCTGCAGCCCGACGGCATCGTCCGCACCGTGCACTACACCGCCGACAAGCACAACGGCTTCAACGCCGTCGTCACCAACTCCGGCCACGGCGCGCACCCCGAGGTCCACGGCCACGCCGCCGGCCTCGGTGGCGGCTACGGCGGGCTGTACTAGCCGCCCCGCCACAGCAGCAGCAGCATGATCTCACCAAAGCCCTACTTGTCCACTAGTCAAACGCCCTCGCGTCGGGACGTCACGTAATAAACGAACGAGTCTCGATGCCGTCTCTTCTCATTCGACTCTACTTTTGCATATCGCCCACACCTCGCAATTATTTTCCACGTCTCCGAGTTTGAGTCGGAAGAAAGTGGAGTAGCCGGCGGCTCTGCGAAGTCCACGTCAGGCGTGTCGCGTGCTGCCACTGCTGGCGGTGTGCTGTCATCGGCTGTTTATGCCAGCCGGCTGAAAAATCATGACTGGTTCGTTGCTTTCACCCGTCGCCGTGGCGGCCAGTAGGCCGGCAGGCGGCGCTGCAGTCGCCATTCGGCGTCGATAAGCTGAGTGGCGGAGAGTACGTAGAGACAAATCGGCGCGATACGCGCGGGCCGAACGGGGCCAGCGTGCTCAGAAAACAACAACGAAACAAACATAAACAAAACGGGATTCAAGCCATTTCAACCCGAAATGCACTCCACGATCGGTCTTGAACGAAAACAAAATTGGCTCCTACATGCGGAAGCCTCTCGACGTGCTGATGACGTTGGGCGAAAACCTGAGCGCGTTCTGAACTGAAAAGTGAACAGTGAACAGAAAACAATGAGGCTGGAATCAGTCAGCGGTATCAATTGCTCTTGGCCTAGATGAGCAGCGTATTGCTGCCAACGTGTTTTTCATTCACACCTAGTTCACACCCCATTAGTCACCGTTCGGAACAGCTGCCAAAACTGGCGATGGTGTGAGTGTTTGTTGGCCCGGCGGACGACGGGCGCGATTCGCGGGCCTCGCGATGCCAGCCGAGACTCTTTACGTGGCAAATTGACAGCTAATGGAATGGGACTGGGGGCAAGGCGTGCCAGGCGTCGTCGCCCGGCCGGCAAGACTCTGATTTATTGCCATAAGTCCGCGGTAATGAGCTCGTGAGCCCACGCCGTGACGCCGAGGTCCAGCAGACCGATTCCGAGAGTCCGTTTTCGTCGTTCTGTCCCTCTCGCACTTATGGCGTGCCTCGTATAGGTGCGAGAGAGGCAGAACGACGAAAACGACTCTCGGAATCAGCCTAGGGTGCTTTGCAGTGCTGCAGTCCGCGGCCCGCCGGCCAGCCCGCTCGCATTCATTATGCAGTGTCCGCTTTTTCTGCAGACTGATTCCGAGAGTCGTTTTCGTCGCTTTGTCTCCCTCGCACCACTACGGGACGCCACATGAGTGCGAGAGAGACAGAGAGACGAAAACGACAGTCGGACTCGGTCTGCAAGCCCCACCGGGCCCACCTTGACACGCATCTCGCCCTGCTCAGCCCGAGCCCGGAGTCATTCAAAATGGTGGCATTTTGGAGGCACTGAGATGGATCTTTTTCGTCGCACGATGACGATTTTCCAAAACCTGATATGACGCTCTGGGCAACGCTTCGAGGGGCTTTCCCTCCAGAAACCAGCGGTTCTGCCTAGACGCCAACGTCGGCCGAATGGGACGGTGGAGGCCCCCGGCAGGGTAGGCAACCCAACTGCCGTGCCTCCAGCCGCCACCATTGCTGCGCCGTGCGGTTGGCAACCCTTCCGGCACGCGAGCCGCGAAGGCTCTCGGTCCGGCGTGGTTTCAGGGCTCCAGGCGCTACAATGTTAACGCCACATTTTACGGTGTAGGTTACCGGTCATCCAAAGGATTTACTGCGAGCAGGTCGAAGAGTTTGCCTCGTGGAGTCTGACCATTCTAGAAACCCGAGGCATCATCACGTCATCCCTATCTGTATGTCTAGCTGCTGGATGTTGATTTTACGAACGGTGCTTCGTCGTTGTGTCTCTCTCGCTCCCCCTATATGCCCCATGAGTGCGAGAGAGACAGAGGGACGAAACCACTGTTCGGATCAGCCCACGAGTTGGCGCGGATCCAGGGGGTTTTAGCATGACCACCTTGAAGGTAGACAAAAAGTTATTCAAAGTGTCACTTAGCCCCCACCCTCCCCCAAGCAAAGGCCGCCCCTAGGTCCGCCACTGCCCGCAGGACGTGCCGCCGGTCCACAGTGGGCCAGAAGACCAGTAGAGGTAACCAAAACTCTAGACACGTTTTGAGCTCCAGAGTCGCTAGACAGGACTCGAACCAAACGTGTGACCACACCAATGGATTCCTCGTTCGAAGGGCAATCCATTGATGGGGTCACACGTTCGGTTCGAGGCCCATTTAGCGACTCTGGGGTTCAAAACGCGTCTAGAGTTTTGGCCACCTCCCCGGTCTTCTGGCCCACTGTGCAGTCCTCGCGTGTCTCGCGCCGGTCTCGTTCGCAGCGCCACCAGCAGACTGATTCCGAGAGTCGTTCTCGTCGCTGTCTCCCTCGCACTCATGGGGCGGCCCGCGTCGGTGCGAGAGAGAGACGGCGACGAACAGGACTCCCGGAATCAGTCTGCAGAGCGCGAGACGCGCGTGGCGGCGCGAAGAAGTGCAAGTGTGTGCCGTAACTTTTCGGAAACGGAAGCCAGGCGTGGAATCCACTGCTTCGCGCGTGACCACGCTGCGCTCGCGGCGCACGCGGCGCACGCCCAGGCGAGCCTACACTGCCTAGACGCCTGCCTAGACCAACGGTCAGGGCGCAATGCGGGGCTGCGCGGAGCTGCGGACGTGGGGCGGGGAGGACGCGGGCACGGCGGCCGGGCGAGCGGACGGGAGGCTGGCAGACGGACTGACACAGCCGCCGACGGAGCGACTCCGGTGAATCGGTTCGTCGCTCTGCCCCACTCGCACACTCAAGGGACCCCCAACGAGTGCGACTGAGACAGAGGGGCCGAAAGACTCTACGGGATCAGTCTGATTGTCGTGGTGGATGGGTAGCGAGTAAACTGACCACTGACCGCCAGCAGACTGACTGCGGAGAGCGTTTTCGTCACGCTGTCTCTCAGGCACCAGTACTACGGGGCGGCCTATGAGTGCGAAAGAGGCAGAGCGACGGAAACGACTCTCGGAATCTGTCTGTGCGATCGATGGAGGCGAGAGGGGATGCCAACCAAGAAAGACCGAGACCGACATCGAAGTGACGAAAAGCAAAACCGTCAGAGGGCACAGTACAAGCACCCCCCAAAATAAATCCTTAAAAAATTGGACAAAAAAAGCGGACGTAGGTTATTGAGGATTTGAACCCGGAATGGCACGAATGCAGATCCGGTTGGTTCCCCCACTAGACATGCGGTGAAGCGTGCGCTGGTGCTACTCACATGATAGGTCCGAGCGGCCAATCACGCAGAGTCGCCCCGTCGCCCGCCAACGCACGAGAAGGGCACCACTCACGACGGCACCGACTAGAGGGAAAGACGCGACAACTCGGTCACAGTGGGCCAGAAGACCGGGAGGTAGCCAAAACTCTGGACCCGTTTTGAGCTCCGGACTCGCTAAACAGGACACTGACCGAACGTGTGACCCCACCAATGGATAACTCGTTTGGAGAGCAATCCGTTTATGGGGTCACACGTTTAAGTTCGAGTCCCATCTAGCGACTCTGGAGCTCAAAACGCAACCGGGATTTTGACTGCCCCCACTGATCTTCTGGCCCACTGTGCGCTGTGATTCAACGGTTCGCTGTTTTCCCGACGAGGCCCTCTCGGCCAGACAACGGTACATTCCCCAGCAAAAGTGACCGAAATTGAGCGGCCCGGTCGGCGACAACGCGCGCACGCGGCCCGACGGGTGGACTTGGAGTGGCTGCGGGGGGCGCGCGCCCCCGGTACATATGGGCTCGGTCCGTCGGATCTTTGTCCGGCGCGGTGGTGCAGCGGCTGACGCAACGGCCGCGCCGCGTTACCGCGTCTCGCGACGCCGCCGCTGACCGCGTGGAGCCCGCCGATTGCGTGAGACAGAAAAGCGTCGCGACGCCGGCGCGCCAGGACGCCGCCGCCACCCCCAGCGGTAGCGTCCGCTTCCTGGGGGAGGACGCCGCCGGCAGAGCGCGCCGCCGGGGGTCCCAAGCCGCCGAAAAGGCGGCCCATATGGCGCCGGCCGTGGCCATGGCACTCAGCCCCACCTCGCCGGCCGGCGTGACCGGCGCGTGGTGGGGTGCCGCGTGGGGGAGGCCGACGGTCGCCGACGGTCGCGGCGTCTCTCTCGCTCTCTCGCGCCGCCGGGAAGGATGCCGTTCTCGCTCTACGCCGGCCGGCACGGCAGTGCACTGGACGACAATGATCTTGTTGCTCGCGCAGTGCACCAGAAACTTTGCATCAGCCGAACTGCAGGCATGCTGCAGGGGCGGCGCAGCCCCCAGAGAGCCCCGCTCAAATATATAAGCCCGTGTGCCCCGGAGTTCGGCATCAGTTCAACCAGCAGCTCAGAGCAGAACACCAGCACCAGCACACCAGCAACCCCAGCCAACCACAAGATGGCCCTCTCCCACGTAAGAGCACCCGAGAGACTTCAACGCAAGGGGGGGAGGCTAGAGGCGTGGATGGTCACGGTGGCTTGCCGGTTCTGTTGCAGATGATCTTGGTCGCCGTGGTGGTGGCGTCCGCCAGCAGCAGCCCCGTCGGTGGCTACGGCGGTAGCGTGGTGCTCGGTAGCGCCGAGTCCTACGCCTCCATCAGCACCGCCCCCGCCGTCGCTTCCTACGCCACCCCCGCCGTGGCTTCCTACGCCGCCCCCGCCGTCGCTTCCTACGCCGCCCCCGCTGTGACCGCCTACGCCGCCCCCGCCGTGGCCTCCTACGCCGTCCCCGCCGTCTCCTACAAGGCCGAGCCCGAGATCATCGCCTACCCGCGGTACGCCTTCAAGTACGGCGTCACGGACGGCAAGACGGGCGACGTGAAGGACCAGGCCGAGGAGCGCGACGGCGACGTGGTGAAGGGCGAGTACTCCCTGCTGCAGCCCGACGGCAGGAAGCGCGTCGTCAACTACCTCTGCGACGGCAAGAACGGCTGCAACCAGGTCGTGTCCTACAGCGGCCAGGCCGTGCACCCCCAGGTGGTGGTCCCCGTCAAGGTGGCCGCGTACGGACCCGCCTACTAGTGCCCACCTTTGTGACTGACTCATCATTGCGCTGTAAATATCTCATCGAATAAAGACGAATATTTAATTGAAACAGTGATTGTGTGATTTACCAAGTGATAAGTGCCCAGTGTCCCACAAAATCTGGATTACCCTCGCCGCTGCCTGCGCTGAAGGGTGAGTTCAAAGCAGTCCCGCAACTACGTAGTGTTTCCGCAAAAGTTTGTCAAACTTTCCATAGATCATTAGGGGATTGTCATACCCACAACACCGCAATAAAAGGCGTTGGTGGTTGAACCTAGCTCAGTGGTTCTCAACCTTGGGGTCGCGAAAAAATTTTGAGGGGTCGCGGTGGTTTCCCGGCTGGCCTACAGGCCGAGCACTGCTGGGAACATAAATTCGCGGAAACTGCGTAAAGTCGGCCCAAAACGCGAACGTTCTAAGGCATTTGTGACCATTTTGATCAACTTTGAGACAATACTGCTCCCAAACCAAGGCTGATAATTACACTCCGTAACAAAGGCATGCTAAAGGAAGGTCCAATGACCGAATGCCCGTTGAGAAAGTACTAAGGCCCGCCTCGGATCAGACGCAGTGGCTGCTTAAAGTCGGTCCAAAACACGATTTTTAAAGGCATTTTTGACGTTTTGATCAACTTTGAGGCAATACTGCTCCCAAACTAAGGCGGATAATCACACTCCGTAACAAAGGCATGCTAAAGGAAGGTCCAAAGACTAAATGCCCGTTGAGAAAGTAAGAAGGCCCGCCTCGGATCAGACGCAGTAGCTGCTTAAAGTCGGCCTAAAACACGATTTTTAAAGGCATTTTTGACGTTTTGATCAACTTTGAGACAATACTGGTCCTGAACTAAGGCGGAACTACATTCTCGGAGCACCGGGTCCAACAGAGACGCTCAGTTAGGCAATTCTCTCTCAAGAACAGTCCAATAAAGAGCACGACATAATGATGAATGGGATGCTTTATTAAAGATAATGAGATATGTACACGATGGGTATCACGATGTGGAGTGCAGTCTTAAGGGTGAGGGTTCGCAGCGCGGGGCGGCGTTCACAGGCCGTGCCCGTGCACCTCGGGGTGGATGGCGTGGCCGCTGTAGGACACGATGGCGTTGAAGCCGCCGTGCTTGCTGGCGGTGTAGTGGACGATGCGCTTCCTGCCGTCGGGCTGCAGCAGCGAGTACTCGCCCTTCACCACGTCGCCGTCGCGCTCCTCCTTGGCGTCCTTGTAGTCGCCGGTGTGCGAGTCCTCCACGCCGTACTTGTACTCGTACTTGGGGTGCGCCTGAGAAACAAAAGATTTTTTCACGAGTCACAACGGGTTTATTATTAAGTAATCACTTGATGAATCACACTGTGGGCTACCCCTGGACTTTTCTGTGAGTGAATGAACCAACTCACCAGGATGATGTGCTCCTCCTCGTGCTTGTAGCCGCCCTCCCCGCCACCAAGCTCCAGACCGCCCAGGCTGCCGTGGCCGAGCGAGTTGAGCAGGTTGACGCTGGCGTACGACTCCGCCACGCTGTGTCCGTGGCCGCCGCCGAGACCGCCGAGACTGAGTCCCCCGGGGTAGGCCGTCGCCGCGCACGCCGCCGCGCTCAGCACCAAGAGGACCTGCACGCAGAGGGCGGTGCTTCACCCCTACACTAGACCGCCTGCCTCGCGGCCTGCGACAATGCTGTACTTACTTTGTAGAGAGCCATGTCAACGCGCTGCTACTGCTGAGTCGCTGAGTTGCTGGGTGTGGACTGATGCTGTCTGTGGCACGTGCCAGTCCGCCCCACCGTTTTATACCTCGAGTAGTTTACATGGCCAGCCCACCGCGCCCCGCCCCGCCCCGCCGCGCTCCGCCCTGCCGGGCCTGCCCCCAGATGCCGTTGTTGTGCAAGGGGAGCGCTAAGCTCAGCCCCTTCAAGTTCAGGCATGGCCAGGCGCCAACTGGGCTGGCGAGGGCGAAGGGGACCGAAGGGGACGCACAAGCCCGGGAGTGACGGAGACGGCGCGAGGGTCTGACGGGCAGGTGCGACTCTCACGATTAGACCGCGACCGGCAGAGCGTCGTCACCGCCGTGCTCTCCTTTGCGCAGCGCCCGTTTTGACTTCAGCGGTTTATGGAAATGTCCTCGAATCGAACGGGCGGCAGATCCCCTCCACTGCCCTCCGTCGAGAGTTAGCTTCGATTCGAGAGTTAGCTTCGATACGAGAGTTAGCTTCGATTCGAGAGTTAGCTTCGATTCGAGAGTCTCTCCACTGGAGTTCGCCAGGGCTGCCATTTCGACAACGAGGAAGGCTCCACGCCGCTCCTCCCTCGCGCGGCGTGGCGCAGCACTACCAGTGTGGCCCTGCTCGTCCGACAGGGCGCGATACGGCGCTGCCAAGAGTCGCTTCGTCGCTCTGTCTCTCTCGCACTCGGGGGGCGTCCCGCAGGCGTGCGAGAGAGACAGAGCGACGGCTGCTGCTCGCTGGACAGCGCGGCATCAGCCTCCTCTCTGCGGGCATCGCGTCGCGTCATCGAGATGATGACTTACTTGTCCATGTCCGTGCCAACATTTCAATTCGCCGGGACGCCCGACGCAATCCGCAATGGTCACAGGCTAGAACTGAACTACATCGTTGTCATGTTGCTGGGTGCTCTGTAGCTGCTCTTGTCATGCTTGTTAAAAAAATCTTCGGCGTGTGTTGAGGCCGTGACTGAAAATTGCTTTCAAGCATTTCCCGCCCGGTTTGCGCGGTGCGTACATTGTTCTAAAAGAGGCGCCCGTGAAAGGCAAGGCGGTGCCGAAAGCGGAGCAAACCATCCAAATCATTCTCGCCATCGGCCTTGGGGCTTGCCGTGTCGGCACAATAGAACGCTCATGGGAAATGGTTTGCGTGCTGAGCGCAGCGCTGGCGGGGCGCTAACCACACGGCGCAGGGCTGCCAGGGCTGGACCGCGCCGAGCCGCCGGCATTGTCAACAAGCGCACCGATTTGGTAGCCCGACCGTAACGATAAGTAAATACCAGCAGGGTAATTTTTGTTGCATGCTGCACCGACCGCGCTCGGGGGCGGCCGCCACCTGGCCGCCGCCTGGCCACCGTCGTGCCGGGATTGCACTACCCTTGACACTCGGCCGAACAAAGGAAAAGCTCGTCGAACGGTGCGAGGGAGCGAGCACCCCGTCGTCCGCGACTTGAAGTAACGATGGCCGATTGGGAGAACGTTTCTTCAGTTTCCGACAGCCTTCTGCGCTGCATCCGATAGGAGAAGGAGGCAGCTGTGCGGCTCTACGAGGCACGCAAGGCCTCGGGGGGCAATGTCCCCATCCCACCGCGGCCTGAAAGCTAAGTAAAGGCCAAAACTTCGTCCCCGCAAGTAGGCAAAAAATGCAACTTTTGACCGCAAAGACCGCCTCTGGATCCGTCACGGGCCTCGGTGCAGCTCGGTGCAGCTTCTGCAGCAGGGATAGCACACCGTCAGAACGAGGGACGCGGCCAGCCGGCTGACGTCTCCGACGGTCTCCAAGTAGTCTCCCAGGCAGGAGGCGGCAGACACCCCGCCCGGTGGCCAAGTGGCACCCAGTGGTGCAGCAGCCGTGGTGAAAGAGCGCCGCAAACGGGCCAAACTGTGTTACACACACTGCCGTTGCCGCCCAGTCTCGCCCACGCCCTGTCTGTCTTCTGCGCACCGCTCTCTTTACGAAAATAAAACAAGAAAAAGAATTTGAAACGGTTTGGATCTGCTTGAAACTTGTGTCCTCTGTTGAACAATACCGAATTCGAGAAACACCTGTAACTCGAAAAAAAAATGTGTGGCAAATACAGATGGAATTTCGCACAGTCCCGCGATCGCTGTTCACAAAACTCCAAAGGTCGTTGCCCCTCGCATGCAAGGCGCTCGCGTATCTGGGTTTTGGGCGCCGCCTGGTAAAGACCAGAGTCCTGCTTTCCTCCTGCAGACTGATTCTGAGATTAGTCTTCGTCGCTCTGTCTCTCTCGCACCCGTCGGGCGTCCCGTGAGGGTGCGAGAGAGACAGAGCGACGAAAACGTACGAAAACGTCTCTCGGAATCAGTCCGCTGGGGGAAGAATAATTGGGAGTGCAAGTAGGCCGCTTCATGGCGAATACATGTGTTGATGTGGGCAGAGCGAGGCAGAGCGTTGCCCGGCGTTGCCCCACCCTCGGCCACTCAGCGCATTGGGGTAAACGAGGTCCCCGACGACGAGCCCGCTCGCGCGCCGCGCCGGCCGGCCTGCTGATTTGGCGCGGGGCCGATTTAAAGACTCTGATTTGGCACCGGCGCGAAGCTCGCGAAGCAACAGCAGCCAGGGGGACACTCACACACGGCCGCGCTCACACACGCGCGTACCTCAAACACACGCACGCTCACTCACACACTGCCACAATGGAGCGATGCCCATTGGTGCGGGCCATCGCCGGGCCCCCAGGCCGGGGGCGCTGGCTCCGAGCTGGCCGCCCTGCAGTGGGTGGTGGCGTGGTGGCGCCTGGGGGGAGCTTGGGCCCGCCTGGGCCCGCTTGGCCCGGCCGGGGTATAAAAGCCGTGCTCGGTGGGCCGTACCTTTGTGTGCTGTGTGCTCTCGGTTCGTGCAGCTCAACCGACTGGAACCCCCTTCGTTCGAGATGGCGTCCTGCAAGGTGTGTGCTGTGCACAGTGGGCCGCCAGACCATCGCCGGCGGCCATCCGTTTTGAGTTCCAGAGTCGCTAAACAGGGCGAACCATAGCGTGTGACCCCACCATCGGATTCCTCGTTTGGAGAGCAATCCATTGGTGGGGTCACACGTTCGGTTCGAGTCCTGTTTAGCGACTCTGGAGCTCCAATCGCGTCCGGGATTTCGACCGCCTCCACCGGTCTTCTGGCCCACTGTGCTGTGTGCGTCAGCGTTCCAGTGCTCCAGCCCGCCTCGCCAAAAAAGGATAATCAGTGTACATCGGCGGCCCACTGCCTTATGGCCACGCCGGCGGGAACCGGTGGCCAGGGGGTCGTGCCGTGGATACCGAGTGCTTCCGTTTCCTGTGACAGTGGCTGCGTTGTTGTCGTCCTTTTTTTGCAGCCGTGGCATCGCGAAACCAATCGAAACGGAAAGAGTAACCGGTGCACTTTCATTGACTCCTCCTCCAGATCGCGGTGCTCGTCCTGGCCTTCGCGGGAGCGGTGCTGGCCTACCCCGGCGGCCACGCCGAGTCGTACGCCTCAGTCATCCAGCACTCCGTGCCCATCGCCATCCACCACGAGCCCGTCAAGCACGAAGAGCACCACGAGCACATCATCCTGGTGAGAGAGTTGTTTGCGAAGAGATTCTGGCGGTTCCAACTTGGAGTTTGCCGACCGGAAGCATTATTTACCTAACTCTTATTTTTCAGGCGCACCCCAAGTACGACTTCAAGTACGGCGTGGAGGACCACCACACCGGCGACCACAAGGACGCCAAGGAGGAGCGCGACGGCGACGTGGTGAAGGGCGAGTACTCCCTGCTGCAGCCCGACGGCAGGAAGCGCATCGTCCACTACACGTCCAGCAAGCACGGCGGCTTCAACGCCATCGTGTCCTACAGTGGCCACGCCATCCACCCCGAGGTGCATAGCCATGGCCACTACTAGGCGGTCCAGCATGCAGCCAACCTCGTCGCCAAAGTCATCCCCATCACCAGCATCTCCATTCATCACTCCATCATCATCGTCGTGTATATAAAGAAGCTACTGTCGATAAATCTAAATAAAGACTGATCAAGAAATGCAATTTGGCGCTCATCACTAAGTCACTACCCCCTCCGCACCTCTTTAAAAAAAATTGAAAAGCCACTAAAGACGCAACATTTTTACTTTTTTCGGACGAAAAGTGTTGCCTACTTTTGAGCGGTTTGCACAACTTGTTTTCTCCCTGTGACATGCACGGAACATTTCTATCCCACGCATTACGTAAAACCGAAGAGAGGACACAAACGGGGCACTAGTCTCACAGTCACAGGCCGATCTGGAGTAGGCAAGAGGAAGGCCGTCTTGGTGAGTTTCGTGGCAGTCCTGCGTCCAAAAGCGGAGAAACCCTCTTACAGTGAGGCAGTCATGTGCGGCGAGTTCCGTTGCCGCTGCCTACCGGACGCACCGGTTCCCATTGGTTCCCTTTGGTTCTCCAGCCAATTAGCAGTGTGGGGCCCTTCCGCCTGGAAGCGACAGGGTTTTGTCACCCGACCCGTCAAAGGACTCTATAACTGTCTAGGGAAGCCCGCGCAGTTAGGGCACTTTTATGTTTCGTCAGAACAGGTCGCGTCCACACTCGAACACGAGACGTGATGTCATTGGCTGCAGGGCACAACAGTGTATCGTCGCTGTCTGTGGCTCTGTCCTGGTCGCTTGGCAGTTGGTCTTGAGGGCGTAAGTCAAAGTGGGACCGCAGAAGAAAGGGTTAACTCCGATCAGACCGATAAGGCGCAAAGCAGCAAATTTATCCTATTCACAGAGGTAAAGTGTTGTTCTTTGCCTATCGTTCGGGCGGCTATCTAGACGTCAGGTGGAGCGGGTGAAGCCCTCCCGCCCCCTCTGGATCGCCGCACTTGACTGCGACGGTCCAGCAGTGATGGTGACTTACGCTTGCCGGTGGCCGCCATCCATGGCAGAGCAGCCGAAGTGGAGGCAACGCTTGCTTGCGTGAGCGACACGCGAAGCGCGGGCGACGTATTCACTTACACCCATTCAGACTCATGAATTCAAAATGTGCGGTTTGTTTTTCCAGGACGCGACTCTGTCCGGCGGCTCCAGGAGCGAGGTGGCCGGCTGGAGCGGGCTGGAGTCGCTCCGGACGCAGCCGGCCCGCGATCCCAGCACGATCTAACTGAGTGGCCGGCCGGCCCCTTCGCGGTTCAACTTGATACGTTTGACGGTGTTAACCGCAGCCCTTGCGCCACACGCGCGCTGCCGCAGCGCTGGAGGGGTGCCGATATCGCACCCTTTAGTCCGTATAAATCGCAGTGATGGCCGACAATCGGCATCAGTCCGCAGCCCGAGCAGCCCGAGCAGCACGACAGCACCATGACGAGCGTCAACAAGGTAGGTCGGCATCGCCGCGTCGTTTCGGTTTGCCTGCTGCCGTGACTCGACGCCGCGCTGCTTCTGTCCAGGTCGTCATCGCCGAGGTGGCGTTGGTGGTGCTGCTGTCGTTGTCCGGCAGGGCGCTGTGCCGGCCCAGCCTGCAGCACGCCAAGCCGGCCACCTCGTACTCGTACTTTAGCATGGCGCTGCCGCACCACCGCGCCGCCGAGCCCGTCTACGTGTCGCACCACGCCCTGCACCGCGCCCTGCACCACGCCGTCGACGAGCACGACGACGAGGAGGCGTACCACCACGAGGAGCCCGTCGTCATCGTAAGTACCGCCAGAAAATCATCCTTGTGGGTGCGAGTGTTTAGTATTGGCGTTAGTTGTCGGTAACGTTGTGTGTGTGCGGCCGTGAATGTGTGTGCGTGAGTGTGAGTGTGCATCGGGGTGAAAGTGGCCCAGTGCCGATCCTTCCGGCCGCTCTGCCGATAGCGTCGGACACGTCCTTGGGACACGTCCCCGAGCGCATCACTGACCTAATGTAGGAAGCGTAGCGTCCGGCACGAAAACCAGGTTCACAGCCCGGCCTGCCTAGGGCCTGCCGCTAGGGCCCGGGGAACGACCAGTGCCGCCGTTTGGTCTTTTAGCGCGAGCGTCGACTCGACTAATGCATTTCACTCTTCTCAGGCGCACCCCAAGTACGAGTACAAGTACGGCGTGGAGGACCACCACACTGGCGACTACAAGGACGCCAAGGAGGAGCGCGACGGCGACGTGGTGAAGGGCGAGTACTCGCTGCTGCAGCCCGACGGCAGGAAGCGGACCGTCCACTACACCGCCAGCAAGCACGGCGGCTTCAACGCCATCGTGTCCTACAGCGGCCACGCCATCCACCCCGAGGTGCTCCACGGCCACCACGAGGCGCGCGGCTACAAGGAGGACTACTAGAAGGCCTGCGTCACGGACCAGCCTGTTCATCTGCCATACTTTGTTTTCACCAAATAGACTGAATTTTCGTCCCATTATTATTTGTGAAGTTTGATTTCGAGCCCCCGTCTCCCAAGCCATTTATTTCCACTCGACATCCAATGTGTCAGCCTCTGAGTAGCAGAAATTTTTTGACCAAATTGTTTCTGCTGGACAAGTTATAGTTTATGTTGCTTTGATTTACAAAGCGTTCCGTTCGTAAAGCTGCAGTGAGTATTTATGTTGCATGCAAATCAAAATGTTGTTTTTTTATAGGTGGGTGGTGTTGGTAAGTGGGCGGTGGGTGCACTGAAAGAACTCGGCAGCATGTATTTGATCACAGCAGGTTTATTCGATGGCTTATATACAAAGGTGACGACATGATTGGGGGAGCGAGTGATGGAGGATAATCGATGAAGATGAGTGGATGAGGTAGTCTTTGGAGTGGTTGCGCACCGCCGCGCCGCTCAGTAGCCGCCCTCGTGGTGGCTGTGGTGCACCTCGGGGTGGATGGCGTGGCCGCTGTAGGACACGATGGCGTTGAAGCCGCCGTGCTTGCTGGCGGTGTAGTGCACAATGCGCTTCCTGCCGTCGGGCTGCAGCAGGGAGTACTCGCCCTTCACCACGTCGCCGTCGCGCTCCTCCTTGGCGTCCTTGTGGTCGCCGGTGTGGTGGTCCTCCACGCCGTACTTGAACTCGTACTTGGGGTGCGACTGGGGAAACAGAGGGCAGATTAGGCCAGCGCGTTGAGCAAGTTCCCCGTGGCTCGGCCACCGGGCCTTGCCACTTCCGTCCGCCGTACACCGCTCGTTTTCCGCCACTCTCGCCCCGCCGGACTTCCATGCGAGTTGCCGGCCAAATGAAGATTGCGGGCCGAAAGGTGTCGGAGGTGCAGCGGAGCGCGTGCGGTAAAAGAGAGGGGGGAGGGTCGCCGCGGGGCGCCGGACCCGGCAGGCGCAGGCAGCGTGGCGTCCGAGGAGATGCTATCGCCTATGCAGATGGCCCAGTGGTCCGCTGTGGCCAGGGGGCGTGGCCGTCAAGATGTGGCAGTATATGGTCCTCAACCGCCTGCAAGTGCAATCTCCTGGCTCGGCTCGACCAACGGCCCAAATAAAGCAGCTTGCAATATTCCAAGAGTTTCGACACTCTTTACTCATTTTGGTCTTCATCAGATCTTTAGATTGAAAACCATACTGCTGAAGGCTGCTCCAAGATATTGTGGTGAAGACTTTTTTCGATACTACAGGAGAAATTAGGCACATTATGTAAAAAAAAGTACAACGAATAAAATGTATATTACAAAGTGAACTGCAGCACACCACCATGGAATTTCCACCATAATACTGATAAACTAATAATATTCACCACCATGGACTTTAGAGAGAACTGCCACAAAGGAATAGTGAATCATATCTCCAAAAAATTTCATAGAAAATTTCTGCTGTGGCACAGGATTGTACTTACGTGGTGGTACTCCTCGTGGTGGCCACCCTCGGAGCCGCCGCCGTGGTAGCCGGTGTCCAGGAGGTTGAAGCTGGCGTAGGACTCGGCGTGGTGGCCCCCTGGCATGGCCAGGGCGACGGCTGCCAGGACAGTCAGGGCGAGAGCGACCTGAAGCAGACAACAGGACGGTCACTGGCTGAAGTCCTGTCCAGGACTTCAGGATATCCCTGGATATCCAGAGTTCAGAATCACAAGAATCGCGAGCAGTCACACGACAAAATTAAACTCAGAAGTCGGGCTGAGCGTCACTCGAAAACGGCACTGACACACCGAAGTTCAAACACACACACTCGCGATCACCGCCTCGGCGCACAAGTTCACACCTTGAGGAATGCCATCTTTGCGGGGGAGGTGCTGCCGAGCTGGTCCTCTGAAAGCTGAGAAGAGCGAACGAAACACTGTGCTCACATGGTGCCAAACATAGGCTTATATACGTGAGCAGTCGGAGGCGCCGGCCCCGCCCCGCCCCGGCAGCTGGCCAGCCCCACCGCCCCTCCGGAGCCCCCGCGGCCCCCGCGGCCCCCGCGGCCGCCTCGGCGCCAGAAGCCCAGTTCAGTCCTTGTGCAAGTCCTGCGGTGTCCGGCGGCGCCAATAACAAAAGGCCCCCTTCTCCGACCGCAGCGCTATCGGCCGCCCCCGCCGCCCCCACGACGCCCCCGCCGCCCCCACACCGACCCCACACCACCCCCGTACCCCTACCAAGGTCCCGCGCTCCATAACCAACACCTCGGATTATTGTTATGACTTCAGGAACCCCCGACCGGCGGACCGGCCCCGCCGATGCATCTTTCAGTGCACGTGTGCGTGTGCGTTCGACTTTGCATCGAGAGCGGCACGCGGATAAGTCCGAACTGCTGCCCCACTTCTTGCAGGCACAGAGCAATAGTGCAACCGCTAAATAGGGTGGTGATAAAAAATAGAACGCTGCCTGCTTATTGTGCTGTCTGCTAATACGTTGCTGAGCGTCGAAGACGCTGCAGACATTTTGCAGACCTACCTATCCCCTTACCCCTCTCACGAATCGAATTTTTCCCGTTTTCCCGCGTGGATGAAACGAAAAGAGATTCCATTAAATTTTACGATGAGTTGTCTCCTTTTGCTGTGCGTTTCCGAAATCGGTTCTGTCCCCACTGTGTTGCAGACCAGCCTTGACAAAAACATGACATTGCGTGGTGCCGAGTCATTTTCGGTGACAGCGCGATGTCAAACAAGCGCATTAATTTGGCCTTCTGAGAGGTGGTAATCGTTGCTTGCAGCGTTTTGTTCTCGCCTCCTTTCCGGTGGCCCGGACCGCACCGGACCCAGACCTTGCGGGCGAGAAAGCGCGGGCAGCGCGGGCCTCCGCCGCTTTTTGCTCCAGCCCACGGACAATTACCTGCCCAGAGGAAGCTGGCCGACCGAACAAAGTATTGCCTTTTCCACGATTTGCAGCCAGCCTGGGCCAGCTGCGTCGATATTGTTCTGACTCACGATACACCAATTCAGGCCAAAACCCAAGGCTTAGATGCATTATTAACTTTATTTACTGTCTAATGAGGTATTTACAATGCATTTGCAGTCTTTCAATTGAGATGGTTTGACTCAGGCCGAGTTCCGACGATGGCGTCTAGTACTTCTTGGCGACCTCGGGGTGGACGGCGTGGCCGCTGTAGGACACCACGGCGTTGAAGCCGCCGTGCTTGCTGGCGGTGTAGTGCACGATGCGCTTCCTGCCGTCGGGCTGCAGCAGCGAGTACTCGCCCTTCACCACGTCGCCGTCGCGCTCCTCAGCCTGGTCCTTGATGTCGCCGGTGTGGGAGTCGTGAACGCCGTACTTGAAGGCGTACTTGGGGTGGGCCTGGAAGACAAATTTCTTAGTTATGGACCCCGCTGAGCTGCAACGACCCCGATTGAACCCTGTTACTTACATAGTGTTCCGGTTCGTGCTTGTAGACGGGCTCGTGCTTGTAGACGGGAGCCTCGTGCTTGATGTACACTGGCTCGGGCTGCTTGTACTCGTGCTTGATGTACACGGGTTCGGGCTGCTTGTACTCGTGCTTGATGTACACGGGTTCAGGCTGCTTGTACTCGTGCTTGATGTACACGGGCTCGGGCTGCTTGTACTCGTGCCTGATGTACACAGGCTCGGGCTGCTTGTACTCGTGCTTGTAGACGGGCACCTCGTGCTTGATGGACGTGATCTGGTTGACGGATGCGTAGGACTGCGCGTGTCCGTAGCTGGTCTGGTGCTTCTCGTACTGCGCCAGCGCTGCTCCAAGCAGTGCCGCTAGTACGAAGAGGACCTAGAGGTGGAGCGGGAAAAAACAGTAGAATTCGTTAAAAACTTACTGAATGAAGAACAAAATTCCGGTTCAAATCCAAGAAAGCGAGCACTGGTCACTGCACCTTGCTGATCTCCATCTCGGCGAGTTTGAGGAATACTGTGCCTGGCTGGGGGTCGACGAGAGTTTATATATGAGCGGGCAATACTGTCGAGACGCCCCCAGAGTAGCTGGACTCCGGTCGGGGCAGGTCGGGTCGGGACAGCCGATGGGAGGGGAGGGGGTCGAGGGGGCTCACTTTACCGACATGTTTTGACAAACTCGTGCACTCTGCACACTTCGTGCGCATTTTAACGGCCATCCAAAACAGTGAACGCAAAATACCTGAAGACGACGGCCTTCTTCGCCTCGCCAGCGCAGGAACTTGAAAACAATTACAATAAAAGTATATTTCTGAAGACGAACTATTTAACAGGAGGTAAGTAGGGAGCCTGTTAAATAAAGTCGAGAGCAAATAAAAAGTCCACGGATTTTTAGTCACTCCCCGAAGCCATTTCAATTGCATCAACTTATTCAACGCCTCCCAGCCAATAATAGGAGGTAGTTACACGGGCTCGGCTGGGAAGAAGTCGAGCAACATTTCGAAAAACGGTGCCAAGCTTGAAATCGCTCGATCTAAATGAGCCATTTCCATACTCGACGGACTTGGCAAATTGTCCGTTAGCAGGGATCGCCGGCACAAAGAGTTTTCTTTGCTTTGCAGCTGACTGGGTGACTTGTACTTGTTTGTGCCAGGGCGTTTTGATTCACGGCTCGCAGTCCCTTGCGTTATTGGCAGGTGTGGAGTGAATCGCTACTTTCGATGCACTGGCCGGACCGGCGTATCTCCCACGTTTCGCGCAGGACTTACGCCGTTCTAGCCACCGACTCCCCAGTGGGGCGGGGCGGCTGGGGCCTACACTCTGAATACACGATGTGGGCCAGGTACCTTTCGCCTTCAAAGCTTCGAAACGAACAGCAAAGTAGGTCCCGTTAAAAATAGACTTGACTATATTTTGATACCAAACGTGAACGTCTTCCTTGCGAGTGCGCGTGAAGTTTGGTTTAAGTTTCAGAAAGAGTAAAAGTGTCCCGAACCCAGGGACAACGACAGGGACCACTACTTGACCCAAATTCGAAAACCGGTGCAGCGTTTACAACTATTTCGCTCATTAGCCATTCGTGTGTGGCGGTGCGGCGTTTTGTGGGGTCGTTTTATTGGCCACTGCTTTGGCGGGTCCAAGCCGCGTATGACTGAGCGCGTGCGATCAGGCCCGGGCCGGGCCGGGCCGGGCCGAGCCGAGCAGGGACCAGCAAGGCGCGCAACGGTCGTAAACAGTCAGAAGCTAAATAGTGTGGACTGCATCGGCGGGGCTACGCCGCTGCGACGGGCGGGGTTGTTGCTCTCATTCGAGGCAGCCAAGTGGCCGCGGTGTGTGAGGGGACAATAATTAGCCGTGCAAACGGCGTGCGTGGAACATTGTGGCGCTTTGGGCCGACGACTCGGCCGTGCCGGTGGGGCGCCAAGGGGAACGGCCGTAACAAGGGGGGCACCTTACTACTCGCGGGGTTCCTCGTTTTCGGCCGGCGGCAGTGAGAGGCGCGGCGAGCGGTGCTCGTGGAGAGGCGCGCCGCGGACGGCATCCTTCCGGTGCTGGCCGCCATGGCCCCGCCCCCAAGCAGGCCGTCGCCAAGCGGCCACCCTTTTCAAAACAGCAAGACTCTGCTGTTTTAGTTGCGTCGTGTGACCGCCACTTGACGCGACACCAAGCGGCCCGCACCCGTTCTCCTCGGCGACTTTGTGTCTCCATTCCGAGCGTAGCAGTGCCAAAAGCAACAGGTGCACTTTGGGGTCGTTCCAACGCGTTGCTTATTCGCAGCACCCGGATCGGGTTACCGAGATCTCAGGATCATGCTCGCTCGGCCACCGGATTGAAACGTCTATAGACTCATACTGGTGACTTTCTTCAGCACAGAAACGGCGCAATGTGTCAGTCACTGAAAGTCAAAGTTCCTGGTTCAAATCGTAAAAAAAACAGAGCTCTTTTTTCGGCATTTTTTCTCCTGCTTGATCTGACGAGAACGACAAACGGTCGCTACTCGTGTTGCAGCTGCCATTCCACACGCACCTAATGAAGCAGCTGAGGCTGGCCGAGGCTGGCACGCGTCGACGGCGAGGTGCAGCGAGGTGGGGGGCGGCCACACCCACGGCCACACCTCCCTGCCAGCTGACTGGGGGCTCGCCACCCCGCCTTGGCGTGGCTTGGCGCCACGCGAGGGTTTTCCCGTCTCTCTCGCACTCACAGCCGAGGGTCTCCCCGTCTCTCTCGGAGCCGAAACGGTTTGCGCAGCAAAAGGGGTGTGGGCCTATATATGGGACCGTCGCGGTCCACGGCATCACAGTCCGTCCGCATCCCCCAAAGCAGCAACATGCAGTCAGCAAAGGTACGCAGAGCAGGTGGACACACCATGGGGCAGCCAGTTCGAACCGGGTTCACCCACTCGACTTAAGTTCAAACGAAGGCCCGATTTTCTTTTCAGGGTCCCTAAATAATGTGACTCGAACTGAACGTGTGACCCCACCAGTGGATTGCTGTCCGAATGACGAATCCATCGGTGGGGTCACTCGCTCAGTTCGAGTCCTGTTTAGCGACTCTGGAGCTCAAAACGCGTTCAGATTATTTTTCGTCCGTGTTATTTTTTTTGTGTCCAAGTTTATGTGGCCCCTTTCGCGGGCCCCTTACCGAAAAGCGCGCTTCCCCTCGCACTGGACACGGCCATTAGCTGCCGCGCATCGCGGCGCCCCGGGAAGGGCCCGCGGAAAGGGCCGCGCAGATTGTATGCAAATGGCGCCCTTCTCTCCGCCCTTGTTTCTCCGGCGTGGCGTGTGACGTCACCGCGTGACGCTCCGGCCGGCTCAAGCCTGGCACGCCCTCCGCGGGGCGCCGCCTCGGCGCCGCCGGCTTCGGGGTTCCGGGCGGTGAGGACGGCGGCGCGACCTTGAGATCAGCTGCAGCGCCGAGCGGGCCCTCTCGCCGCCACGCGCCGCCACGCCCCTCCAGTGGCGTGCCCCGAGTGGGGCACCAGTGAGAGTGAGTGGGGCTCCACGCGCTCGGCCGACCGTTCCGCCGGGCGGCCCGCCGTCTGTCCAGCGCGCGGCCACCGCGTTGCGGCCGTTGCGGCAGGTTAGGGGTTACGTCCTCATCCTTCCTGCCGGGAACGGGAACGGGACGGAACGGGACGGGACCGCGGATGCGACGCGCTCGCCAGTTTCGGGAGCGCGGTTCGGGTCCGCAGCCACTTTGCATTTCCCATCAGGAGAGAGATAAGCAGGACCCTTTTATCGCCGTGGCCGTTTTATGTTTTTCTGAAAATTTGATGCGCCCTGCCACGCTCTGCCGCCTTGCCCCTGGTCTCCATGTCTAGCGGGTCGTCGGAATGCGCTCCGCCTCGCGTGCGCAGTGTGCGCAGCGGCCGGCGTGGCCGGCCGCGGCTGAGGCGTCTTTGTGGGTCGCGGTTTGCGCGCCGCCCGCAGGCTGATTCCGAGAGTCGCTTTCGTCGCTCTGTCTCCCTCGCACTCATGGGGCGTCCCCTCGAGGTGCGAGGGAGACAGAGCGACGAAAACGACTCAGTCTGCCGCCGCCACAAACTTGAATAAGCTTACGATCGATCGCCGGTTGCAATGCGTGGGCGTTGCAACGCTGCAGTGCCGCGGTCCGAACCTCTCTCGCGGGATTCTCGAAAAAGCGTCCGACCCGTTCGAACCATCGCCCCATCACCGAGTATCAGTGGCGGACCCAAACCCTGCCTGAGGGAAGAACTTGGTAGCACTTTTTTGTCTGCCTGTCTTATTGGGCCAAAGGGAGGTAAATAATTGCCCTTAAGACCCCCTCCCGCTGGACCCGCGCCTGTCAAGTACAGACACTCGCTTTACACCCCCAGGGTCGTGCAATATTTTATTTTCTCGAGGCAAATGCGGGTGAGCGGACGACAAGCTTGTAAGCGCCGCGGCTGTGAAATCTGTCAACACCAAACTGAATGACTTATGCGTCTTTCTCAGCTCGGCGCCGTCCGCTGCGGCCGCGGCCCGGTGGCCCGGCGGGTTCTGATAGTGCTCCGCCTGCGCGGCGCGCGGCGCGAACTTGCAAAACACCGCCGCCTTCGCTCGATCTAGTTCCAAGTGTGGTACATTTTTAATGGCCCCCTCTACAGTTACCGTAAATAAAAACCCATCTCGGAGGGATTTTTCCCTCGCCCCGCCCCCCTGTCACGTCGACGCGTGATTTAGAGGGCGGTGTTGCACCCCGCGCCGCGCGCCGCTCGCCCGGTGGACTCGAGGACCGCGATGCGATGTCGCGTCGCGGAGAGCTGCCAACTGCCCGCCGCTAATCGATGACTCAATCCGATCCATCACCGCGGACAAATCGCGGGAATATTTACCTAGCGGGCAACAGTGTTGCTGGGTGTTGCCACAACAAAAAAAAAAACATTTTTTGTGATTTTACTCCAATAATCGGGTGCGCTGTGTTGCCTTGGCGTGGCAGGCCGGACACAAAACCGAGCCGACTAACCTCCACGACGTTGCGGCGTGCCGGGGAAGGCGGGAAACATTGCAGGTTGCAGACTCGCGCAGTTGCAGCACTCGCTCAGCGCCTCGGCGCCTGGGCTGCGCCGTTTGCACGCCACTTCTCAACGTTTCGCTACTTCAGAGCCGATGCACGCACCAATCTAACCATTTTTCAATGTCCTTTTAACACTTTTTTGAAAAAAAAATCGAGTAAAAGCTAGATGACACCTTTATGTGTCTTGTATTGGTTTGCGTATGTTCTGGAGTAGTAAACGTATCATCTGCTAAAAAAATAATTAGCTGTGGATTTTGGCGGGCCCACAAGTACCATAAAATCTGAGAAACCTGTCGTACAGCCAAAATTTCTTTCCCGTTTTTCGATTCGTCTTTTCTGCTTTTTCTCAACGAGTGCATGTCCCTTTTAAAAAGGATCGGCGTCCAGTCAGTAATAGTGAGGCGGCGCGTCAGGTTTCGCCATCTGCTCTGATTTGCCGGGCGGACGGCCGACACTGCCGACAGCCGCACCCACCGCGCTGCACTGTAATGCTGCAGTGTAGTGGCGCGTGCTGGGCAGTGCTGGGCAGTGCTGCGCCACCCTACAAGGCGACGTCGTCCTCCTGCCTCAAGCTGCACTTTTTGCACCCCAGTCGCTCGCATGATTCGATTAGGGTCGTCCTCGGGGCGGCGAGAGGCCTTGCAGTGGTGCACCAGTGGAGGCGGTCGAGATCCCGAACGCGTTTTGAGCTCCATAGTCGCTAAATGTGGCTGGAACCGAACGCGGGGCCCCACCAGTGGATTGCTCTCCGAACGGGGAATCCATTGGTGGGGTCACACGCTCAGTTCGAGTCCTGTTTAGTGACTCTGGAGCTCAAATTGCGATCACAGTTTTGGCCGACGGCGCCGGTCTTCTGGCCCACTGTGCAGTGGGTTTGGGAGCAGCCCAGGGTGCTGTAGGGTGCTGGGGCCCGCTCAGGCCTCGGAGTGTGGCCCACAGGCTGTCTGGCTGGCTGGCTGCCGGCGGGGCGGCAGTGCCCTACTGGTGGCGCCTGGAAGGCAGGCAGCCCATCTGGCAGGCGCGCCGCGGCGGCAGTCTGCGGCCCAGGCGCGTACTACGCCGCCCTGCGGACTACCTGCTGTCGCCGCTCTGTCTCTCTCGCACCTGCACGGAACGCCCTATGTGTGCGAGAGAGAAACGACGAAAACTGTCGGCATCACTCTGCTGCAGCACTGCTCGCTACTTGTCATGCTAATGACTCGACGTGTTTGCTTTATTTGCTGTGGGACTCGTTTCGAAAGGCGCGCGGGAGGGGGCGATCGTGAAACGACTTGCAAACGGTGTCCCTCGTCTAGGTGCACCTGCTGGCCGGGCTCCAGGCTTCGGACTCCACCCCACCCCACCCCACCCCACCTCGCCCCGCCGGCGCGCGCCGCACCTCCAGACACACCCAGCACCTGACTGACCGCTCCTTGCGGTGGTGTTCCAGGTCGCCGTCGTGATGCTGGCGGTGCTCGCCGTTGCGGCCGCCCAGTACGGCCACCACGGCCACGCCGAGTCGTACGCCTCCGTGAACCAGCTGTCCTCTGAGAAGCACGAGGAGTACAAGCACGCCGAGCCCGTGTACATCAAGCACGAGTACAAGCAGCCCGAGCCCGTGTACATCAAGCACGAGTACAAGCAGCCCGAGCCCGTGTACATCAAGCACGAGTACAAGCAGCCCGAGCCTGTGTACATCAAGCACGAGGTGCCCGTCAAGCACGAGTACAAGCACGCCGAGCCTGAGTACAAGCACGAGGAGGTGGAGGTCGACTACCACGTAAGTGAGCCGTTGAAGCGGATGCCCTAGAAAAATGTAAGATGTGCGTTAAATTGTGTTGCCGTTGTTTTTACAGTCGCACCCCAAGTACGAGTTCAAGTACGGCGTGGAGGACCACCACACCGGCGACAACAAGGACCAGAAGGAGGAGCGCGACGGCGACGTGGTGAAGGGCGAGTACTCCCTGCTGCAGCCCGACGGCAGGAAGCGCATCGTCCACTACACCGCCAGCAAGCACGGCGGCTTCAACGCCATCGTGTCCTACAGCGGCCACGCCATCCACCCCGAGGTGAAGAAGGCCGAGCCCGTGCACGGCCACTACTGAGGACGCCGCCGCCCTCCCATGTTCCTCTCATCATCATCTGTAATTTCTCGCGTTCATTGTGTAAATACCTCACCACTACCTCATCAGATTTAAGAATAAAGTCGAACTAAGGAAAGCTATGCCGTATACGTATTAAACTTCCCATTCACACTGCGTGGCGGGGCTCCGCATGCAGCAATGAGGTTGTTCTGTGTTTGAAAACAGTTAGTTTTCCCGCATGTTTTTTGATGGCGTTAATCTTGGGAAGAAGAAATGCCCTGAGACAGGATAAATGCTCTAAAGCAGGATGAATGCTCGCTTTGAGATTAGGGTGGAGAAGTGGAAATTGATAAAAAGAAGCCGAAACGCTGGCGGGGACACACCTTTTTTTTCGACACAGTAAAGCCTGATGCGAGGCACTCACACATTTGTGTGGTCACTTAATGTTTCTTCCCACGGTGTACGGAGCCATTTTTTTCACTGCACCAGTCGGTCCAGGGTCCAGTCCGGCGGGGTAATATCGAATTCACTCTATTGGCGCTGGTGGCGCTGGTGGGGCGGGCTCCATCTAAGGGACCGGCTTACATCTTAAAGTCTTTCCGCGGCCTTGGCATAATGCAGTTACGTCTAGTGGTGTGTGCGCTGCGGCACTGCACTGGCCACACGCTTCCCGTGGTGACTCTGGAAAGAAGTGGTGGAACTGGGTCTGAAAGTCACCGTCGCCTGCCGACGAGCGGTTTGGCCGGCCGCGCCCCGCCCCGCCCCGCCCCGCCCCGCCCCGCCCCGCCCCACCCCACGCCGCGAGGAGGTGAAGCTAGGCGTGACACTGGCCTCCTGTGGGCCGGTAAGTGGAACGCCGATTGAACGACATTCTCGCGTTTATGTTCGGAACTAAACGCGCCCGTTTTAGCGCGCCAAAGTGACAACTCCGGGATTTCATGTTACTGGACGACATGGTCATGGTCGCGCTTTGCACCTGTGATACTCTCCAAAAAGTGAATTAAAATTTGATCTTCTTGAAGAAGCAGTGCTTCCTTGGCAACCAGCTAGCGAATTCCGTCTGAAGCAGCGACTCAAAGATGGGCCCATGGACCTTTATGGACGGATGTAACTCTAATTCTTGACTCTTTGCAAACTCTAAATCCTCCAAATCAGATTAGGATCAAACACATGATACCACTCAAGGATTCCTCGTTTGAAGGGGAACCTATTGGTGGTATCAATTGTTTGATAAGTTCGTTGATGTCACGTAGATCTTTCACGCTTTTGTAGGGGTGGTTCCATTTATACCCGGCGGTCGGGGGGTTAATTGACTCTCCAGTTACGAAAATGTCACCAGGCCCACCACGCGTCGCCAGGCACAAAAGCGCGCGCACAGAGATCGATCGATAAGAATTGGAGCGTAATTGTGGGGCTGCCGTAAAAGGGTGGCAAGACTGCGAGCACGGCCACGGCAGTGCCACGGCAGTACACCGCAGGAGCAGTAGAAGATTTTTCAAAACGGACGGCGGGAAAAAAGTCGGGATGACTCACACACACCATTGACCTTTGAGTGCGCCGCCCTGCAGTGTGGTGGTCCACCGGTCGCTCCGCACCGCTCCGCCGCTGTCCGGCCGACGCCAAGTCCGTCCAAGTTACGACCAAAGCGCGACGCCGCCGAGCCCGGCGACCTGGAGACTCATTCCGAGAGTCGTTTACGTCGCTCTGTCTCTCTCGCACCCATGGGGCGTCCCGTAGAGGTGCGAGAGAGACAGAGCGATGAAACTTCTCTCGGAATCAGTCAACTGGACCGTTGGCCTGGTAATACCAAGGCCTCGTCGCACTAATGTAAGGTGTAAGCAGCACCGCGACTTACTTGCCCATTTTCATTCGCTCCTCGGCGGGTGTAGAGCAAGCCGCGGGCCCCGCGCGCCCGCCCCCGGCGACGCGGGAGACCTTGCTACAAAGAGAGCACCGGAGGGGAAAGAAACGACAGAAAGAAAGACAGAAAGCAGTTTGCTTGTAAGCCGCCCGCCGTTCGGCCCGTTGGCGAGGTACTTGTCTGGCGGCTGGAAATTCCAGGAATGTGAGCTCGCGTCTGTCCAGCCGGGAGGGGGGGGGGCGTCGACGGGGTGTCCGTCGTCGTCCCCCAGGACGACCCCGTGACTTTTGCAGCTGTCCAGCCCACTGCCGAGGCGTTATCACAGTGTTTTGCCCTCGCCGCGGTGTTCGGAATGGTTCGGAATGGTTCGGAAACCGCTCGGGACGTCCCTCGTGTCTACACCACCGGGAGCTCCACACAGCACACGCGTCAAGGCGGACTTATCACTTCTTTATAGTGCAGCGAGTTACGACTTCCAAAGCAGCCATAACCGGCAGATGACATTGCACTGTTTTCTGCCCGACTGGCTGCAGTGTTGCGCCGTTGCACCTTTTACAGCGTGCCCGCCTCGTGTCGCGCTCGCGGCAGCGCCGGCAGCCTGCCCCGCCTCGCCACTTTAGAAGAATAATCATCAACTAATAATGACAACAATCACGACCATAACGCCGACTCTGAAGAGACAGCTGCACGTGCCTCTGGGCATTCCACCCCTCCCGGTCTCACGGCGCACCGACCGGGCCGCGTTCACAAAGAAAACACTGCCGTTTTGGTATTCATCATTGCCCGATTTGCCTCGCTGACTTACAGTGGCGGGACCAGTTGGCCGTCCCGGTCCGTCCCGGTCCAGGCCGCCCTGTCCCACGCGTCCGCGCGATGCCCACTCGTTTTGTTTCGGAGAAATGGCGATGAAAGATTCATGACTTCGCAGAGACGCCCGTCGACGGGGCGACGGGGCGACGCAGTGCGATGCAGTGCGATGCAGAGCGCCTCCCCCTCCCGGGGCGTGTCGCGGCCCCCTCCAGCGGGTCAGTTCCGAACGCTGTTCTCGTCGCTCTGTCTCTGTCGCACGCGTGCGGCGTTCCGTAGGGGTGCGAGAGAGACAGGGCGCTGAGTGCGCCGTTCGGAACCTAGCTGCTGTCCGGTCCGGCCCGGCCGGCCCCCTCGCTCCCCTGGGGCCCGGGGCCGCCCCCTCGGCTCTCGCCGACCCGCCCCGCGACCCCGGCGTCGTTCGCGAGCGCGCAAGGTCCCAGTGGGGGTCCTACGCAGTCCTGGGGGCACCGCGCCGCCACGCGCCGCCACGCGCCGCCACGCACCGCACTGGACGACGGTCAAAGGGGAAGGGGGCGCGAGCCGCGCGAGCACCGGCCGCGGAGGGCGACGGCGCGAGAAGGGGGCGGCCGGGGGCGGCCGGGGGCGGCGAGGGGGCCGAATCATATCCATATATATAAGGCCGGTGGGGCACGCTGGGATAAGTAGTGATCGAACAGCTTCCACCGCCACCACCACGTGGACCTACCTCCGTAGCCATGGTGAGTCCCGGTGGCAGCCTGACGGCGACCTCCACGTCGAGCAACGTGGCCGCCGTCCGGGCCGCCCCGCCACGCACGCCAGTGTTACCGGACTGCCTAACGCTGTAGGCGCTCTCGGAGCGCCTGACGAAGAGCGGGTAGGCAACCCGCTTGGGAGCGCGTGTTACGGGACTGTCTACGCTGCAGGGGCTCTCTCATAGCGCCCGACGAAGAGCGGGTAGGCAACCCGCCACGCACACCAGTGTTACGGGACTGCCTACGCTGCAGGGGCTTCAGTGCCGCCATGTACAGTTGTTCGCGTCCACTACAAGGTGCCTCTCTTGCAGATGTTCCTGGTTGTCCTCCTCGCGGCGGCGTGCTCGGCGACCCCCATCGGGGAGTACGGCGGCGGCCTCTCCCTGGGTGGCTACGGCGGCGGCCTTAGTCTCGGCGGCCACGGCGGCGCCAGCTCGTACGCGTCCATCAGCTCCCCCGTGGCCATCAGCCACGCTCCCGTGTACAGCCAGGCCCCCGTGTACAGCCAGGCCCCCGTCTACAGCCACGCTCCCGTCTACAGCGCGCCCGTGTACGCCAAGGCGGAGCCCATCGTGAGTAACAAGGATCGATTTGCTCATTTAAGAATCGTTCGGAGCTGCGCGTCACAACCACTCCTTCCCGCAGGCGCACCCCAAGTACGAGTTCGCGTACGGCGTCAAGGACGGCCACACCGGTGACATCAAGGACCAGAAGGAGGTCCGCGACGGCGGCGTGGTCAAGGGCGAGTACTCCCTGATCCAGCCCGACGGCACCAAGCGCACCGTGCACTACACCGCCGACGACCACAACGGCTTCAACGCCGTCGTCTCCATCAGCGGCCACGCCGTGCACCCGCAGGTGGTCCAGAAGGTGGTGGCCGCCCCCGTGGTCCACGCCGCGCCCATCGTCCACTCGGCTCCCGTCGTGAGCCTCGGCCACGGCGGCTACGGCAGCGCGTCGTCGTACTCGTCCATCTCCTCGCTGGGCGGCCATGGCGGCCTCTCCCTCGGCCACAGCGCGTACTAGAGACGCCCCCAGTCATCGTGCGCGGCCAGGACGCCGTCGGCGCCCCGCACCGGCAGGGCTGCTGACGCACGTCCGCCGCGCACACCCCATCGTCGACGATCACGTGTACATAGCTCCGCTCCCGCACTGAAATAAATTTATTAATTATTTATAGAAATTCCCGCTTGTCACTGTCCCAATCACATCCCGACCACCAGCGCCACCACGGCAAACAGGAAAAACGCTTTCCCATTTGCGCGTCATGCGTCACACCGAAGTGCGCGGTCGAAGTCCTCATTTGCGCGTACTTGATGGCGTGCTTGGCGTCCCCGAGGGCTGCCCCTCCCCCGCCCATTACCCGCCCGCCCCAGAGGACTCCGACGAGGCCCTTGCAGTGGCGCGCCCGGCCTGTCGCGCTGCACTGCGACTCACCGGTGACGAGCCCCCGCGGACCGCGGCACAGTCTGCACTCTCGTCCCTCGTCGCAATGTTTGCAGGCGAGGTGATAAATGAAACATAAACGACACGGCCTTGCACTCGCACACGCACGCGCGCCGGAAGCGCCCTCCCCACGCCAGCAGCGCCAGCACCACCGAGGGTCGATCCAACCCCAGCCACCATGGGAATGAACAAGCGATGGTGAGGTGTCGCGCAGTTTGCTTTGCTTTACACACCGGGCCGGTTTCCGGCGCGGATTGCGGCGGTCTGATTCCACACAGCGTGGTCGCGCCGGCTCCGCGCTGTGCGGAAGCAGTCCGCTGTGATGGGGTAGCTCGCCACGGCCACCATGTCGATGATGCGGTCGCGCAGGCTGTGCTGGCTGGCGCGGGTGCTGGGGGTGTTCCCGCTCACGGAGCGCCCCGCCGGCGAGCCCGTCAAGCCGGACGCCAAGATCAACGCCGTCTTCCCGGCGGACGCGGCGTCGGCGATGCCGCGGAGCTGGACGACGGACTTCTCCAGGAAGGCGCGCGGGGACCCTGGGCCCAAGGTGGGCGATGGCGACACCCCTTGTTCTTTGGCCCCAGTGCGGCGGCTGGTACTCACGGCCTGCTTGTGTGCAGCCCATGCTGCTGGAGAGGTCGGCCTTCTGGACGTGCTACTCGGTGCTTTTCGTGAGCGTGGTGCTCTGCGCCACGGTGTACTGCACCCTGGACGACTTCTTCAAGGGCGAGGCGGCGACGGGCGTGCGGTGGACGTCGCGCACCGACCAGTACGCCACACTGTGCGAGTACCTCAGCCTGTGCATCTCCGCCCTGGCCTCGGCCATCAGCGCCTGCGCCTTCGTGGGCCCCGTCATCCGCCAGGCGGACCTGCTCGCGGAGGTATCATCGCTACCCCTCGCGCGAGAGACTGGCTGCAAGAGAGGCGTTGGAAATTTCTCGCGCGGGGGGTAGTGACGGACCTGCTCAGTCACTCCGATTGCTCCAAGGTCGACGCTTTGCTAGGGCTGCCGCCACCGGCGCCGCACCGCTTCCTGTCGCTCTGGCTCTTCGTGGTGCTGGGCGTCATCGTGACGGACAGCTCCGTGTGGCTGGTGACGGGCTCCAACACGGTGTTCGACGCGCTGGAGGACCTGCCCCTCTACGTCACGTACTACATGTGCTTCACCTCGGAGGTGCTCTTCATGAGCGACGCGCTGGCCGTGAAGGAGCGCATCGCGTCGGTCAACGAGATCCTCGTCTCGGCCATGCCGCCGCCCGGGTACAGAGGTGGGGACTCATATTGTTCCTCGGCCCTAAATGTGGTTGCGTCCCCGAAGTTGAGAACCGCTGACCAAAGCTAACCGAACCGCCCGGTGGTGGGCCTGACGCACTGCCGCAGACCCGCACGTGGGCCCCGCGGTATTGCCCAGGACGCTGTGCGTGCGGCGCCTGGCCAAGGCGCACGCCATGCTGTGCGAGGCCATGGAGGCCGTCTCGACGCGCTACGGGCCGCCGCTGGCGGTCGACATGGTGGGCGTGCTGCTCAACCTGGTCATCACCTCGTACTTCTCCCTGGAGGACCTGCTGCCCTTCTCGCCGCCCGGCGACGACGGCACGCTCACGTTCATGGAGATGGTGTTCGCCATGCTGCACCTCGGCCGCATCGTGATGCTGGTGGAGCCGGGGTCCTCGGCCAACCGGGAGGTGAGGTCGGCCGAAGCACACTGGATTCGCCAGAAGTCCGGTGGCGGTCAAAGTCTCGGACGCGTTTTGAGCCCCCGAGTCGCTAGATGGGACTCGAACCGAACGTGTGACCCCACCAATGGATTGCTCTCCGAACGAGGAATCCATTGGTGGGGTCACACGTTCGGTTCAGGTTCCGTTTAGCAACTCTGGGGCTCAAAGCGCATCTAGAGCTTTGACCGCCGACGCCGGCCTTCTGGCAAATCCACTGTGCAAAGGCCGCCAAAGGCCCTCGGATCGGATTCCCTCGGCAGTTATTTTATTCTTCGGCCTAATTAAGCCTTGGAACGCTAACGCCGAGGCTGACGCCGCGAATGCCTGCAGGCGGAGCGCAGCGCCGTCCTCGTGGGCTACCTGTGCTCCACCGTCCCGCACGGCAGTTTGATGTACGAACAGGTGAGGCCCGTTCATCACGTCGGCGACGTCGGCGACGACAGATTCCAGGGCTGTCGGCCAGTCAGGCAGTGCTGCGTGCAGACCGGCGGCAACCTCCGCCGAAACGCCGTCACGTTGTTGGCGGAAGGGAGGGTGAAGGGCGCTGATAACAATTTCCAAACCGGAAGTGTAGTGAAATGAACCGGAAGTAAAGGCGTCGCTTCGTTTCCAGCTCAAGGCGATGTCCACCCAGCTGCACCACCAGCGACCCGCCTTCACTCACTGCGGCGTCATCGAACTGGACCGCTCCCTGATTGTCTCGGTGAGCGCGGAGCGAGGCAACTATTGCTAACTATTCATTTCCTTTCATTGAGGATTGGTCATTGTTCCGGCCCAGATCGTGGGCTCCGTGACGACGTACCTGCTGGTGCTGCTGCAGCTCAAGCCGACCGCCATCCACGACTCCCACACCAACAGCACTGCGTAGGGCTGAGGGTGAGTAAAAAGGGTGGACCTGGAGTGGGTTGCCTACCTTTCAGGTGGCTTCGCCCCCTCCAGTCGGGGAGGGGGTGACCCCCCCCCCTCCTTTCCCCCCATTGCCTGTCCCTGGATCCGCACCTGGAATTGACGCGCACCGCGGCGCGCTGACTAATTTAAAAAGGTAAAAAGGGGGAGGGGGTCTCAAAGTGACGCACTCGGCGCTCCGTTTGTGGCGCTGCGTGGCCACGCCGCACAGCGCGCAGCTGGCCGGTCGGTCACTCTTGGTCACAATCGAGGGCCGCCACCCCCCGCCACGCCACGCCCCGCCCCGCCACGCCCCGCCACGCCACGCCCCGCCCCGCCACGCCCCGCCACGCGCCGCACCACAACGGACCTGTTCTCCACCGCCGCGGGCCACGTCAGTGCACGTCGGTGGCACGTCAGCTCATTTGAGATTCCCAATACCCGCGGGGCCGTAAGACCGTAAAGCCGCAAGGGAAGGAGCGTTGGTCGGGGAGCTTTGATTGCTCCGCTTCTTTGCCAAGATGGACGCGCCGCCGCGTCGCAGCGCGTCGAGCGCGTCGCAGCGCGCCAAATAAGACGGTGGGAAAAAAAGACCGCGGAGACGCTCGCCGGCCAGCCGAAACTACGTGCCGAAGAGAATTTTCCAGCTGTAAAAAAATCTAACAAACTTAGGGTTTTTAACAGTTTTTGAAATCAAATATTCTTCTTGCGGTGTCTGCCGCAATCATGACGTCGCCAAGGGCTAAATCCACCACTGACGTCCAAAGCGACGGCGGGTTTGCTTTGATCGATTTACCAGTGTCCTGGCCGGGACTGCGGCGCTGCCCTGCACCTGCCTGCACCTGGCCGTCGTGGACGTCGTCGCGGCGTGGAGGCAGCGCGGGTCGCGCTCGGGTCGCCGCGCCTGACTGCGCCGCTAGTGGGGGCACGGCGTGCACACACACACACACATGCACACACGCGCCGCGGCGCACACGCGTCCTGCCCTGCCCTACCATACGTCTATAAAAGAAGCTGACAGTGGCTGCACACAACAGTCCTCCGACCAACCGCCCCACGACCGTCACCACCATGGCTGCGGTAAGCTCGGCCGCCTTGGCTTTGGCGCGACAAAACACGACGGCCGCGGAGGGCCACTTCTCGTGCACCAGTGGAGCCACCCCGCACCACCTCCGACCGCCCCGGGGCCTTCTGCGAGAGTTGACGGATGTCGGTCTCAACTTATCTTACATTTACTCAATTTTTTTGCGTGTCGTTTAGTTACTTGTTTGACCTACGCCGGAAAAAAGGACATTCTAAAAGGTGGTTACGGCCTTTTATTATGAGGCGTGCAGGCTTTTGTTCTTGGAACGGCGCGGTCGCGAGTCGCGCGCGCCGCCCGGGAGCCGCGCCTTCACCACCCACTTAAGCCCGCCGCGTGCCGCGTCCTCGGTTTAGTGGCGGTGATGGTTACGCAACGACGGGACGGAAGGGCTGCACTGAGTAGCGCGACCTCAAGGCCGCCGCGCGGTCCGAGCCACCCTCAAGGGCACGCACTGAATCCCGCATCCGCACCAGGAACGAGGCCCCACCTTCCACCACGGGACTGCGACAGTGAACTGCCCAAAAGACCCAAGAACGACACGCCTCCCCGCCACTGCAAGCCACCCCGTTTGGCCCCGGAGCTCGCCGCCGCCTGCTGCCGCCAGCGCGTACACTGTAATGACCTCACGGCTCGCCGTTTCGTAATTTTCATTCCGATCCGTTTCTTTGCCGCGCCGGCCGGTCAGAGCCGGTCAGCCTCAACTGGACACGACACGCGCACGCGCGACCGCACGCACACACGCACAGACACGTGCACACGCGCACACACATTCACACGCACGCACACTCGCGCCCCATCACGCGGCTGCACGCGGCAAGTCTGCTTGTTTCTTTGTGTCCCGATAGAGACATTCCTACACTGCCTCCTCCCGACAGGTGATCTTCGCGCTGCTCGCCACGCTCGCGCCCGCCCTGGCCATCCAGGTGCCCGCCAGCTACGGCGGCGGCCACGGCCTGGGACTCGGCCTGGGAGGGCTCATCGGGGGCTACGCCGCCGCCCCCGCCGTGAGCTACGCCCCCGCCCCCGCTGTGAGCTACGCCGCCGCCCCCGCCGTGAGCTACGCCGCCGCCCCCGCTGTGAGCTACGCGCCAGCGCCCAGGATCGCCTACTCCGCCCCTGCGCCCATCGCCTACGCCCCGGCCCCCGTCACCTACGCCGCGCCGGCCCCGGTCGCCTACGCCGCCCCCGCCCCCGTCACCTACGCGTCGCACGCCCCGGCGATAGCGTACGCCGCCCCCGCCGTGGCCAAGGTCGCCGTGGCCGAGCCCGTCGTAAGTACGGGGGGAGGAAGCGCATGCCGTTTGTCGCTGCACCGCCGACTCACTCTCTCCCTCTCTCCGCAGGCACACCCTAGGTACGCCTTCAAGTACGGCGTCCACGACTCGCACACCGGCGACGTCAAGAGCCAGACGGAGGAGCGCGACGGCGACGTGGTGCGCGGCGAGTACTCGCTGCTGCAGCCCGACGGCACCACCAGGACGGTGCACTACACCGCCGACAGCCACAGCGGCTTCAACGCCGTCGTCTCCATCAGCGGCCACGCCGTGCACCCCGCCACCCCCGTCAAGGTGGCCGCCCCCGTGGTGCAGGCCGTGCACCAGGCACCCATTGCCGTGCAGACAGTGCACCAGGCGCCAATCGCGGTGCAGGCACCCACCCTGGTGTCCGTCGGGCACGGAGGCCTGGGCGGCCTCGGCTACGGCGGCATCGGGGGCCTCGTCGGCGGCCACGGCGGCCTCAGCTACAGTGACCTCGGTGGCCACTATTGAGGCCCTCGCCGAGTAAGGTGTTGCCGTCGACCAGTAGTTCCTAGTTGAGCGTGTCAGGACGGAGGCTGTTTGATGAACCTCTTCACGCGGCACTGCGTTGCACCGCGTTGCACGGCCCGAGGCCCGAGGTGCGTGACGGCGTTCGCGGCGACGAACGTGACCAACGTGACGCCGCTCTGCCGTGTTCCGGAGCCTCCGGTTGGCCAGCGGCAGGCCAGGCCAAGGCCCTCGGGCCGCTGCAGACCGATTCCGAGAGTCGTTTTCGTCGGTCTGCGTCTCTCGCGCCGATATGGGACGGGGCGTGAGTGCGAGAGAGACAGAGCAACGAAAACGACCCTCAGAAGCAGTCTGCTGGACGCGCCGAGAGAGACAATGAATCGTTAGAGTGAATGCGGATGAGTGGTGCGCGGAAAAGATCGATTAGCTACTCATTTTGTACGCAGTGTTGACGATATTGTTCCAAAGCACAAAATAAACTAGTGTTGCCAAAACGGATTCCTCGACATTCGACCGCTCCTGCCCTGCTTGGTTGTTTCTGCAAGTCGAAAACACAAACATGGCTCCTCTATTTGAGCGCGGCGCTGCCCTCGTGCCGCAACGGACCGCATTCATTGAATTCACGCTCCGGCCGCGGCTCGCGGCTCGGCTCAGAAAGACAGACGAAAATACGCGTCCACGCGACCTGCAGCGCCTGCAACACGAGTCAAGCCGGGAGCAGGTTTCATGGAAAACAGTTCAGGTGCCAAACGGAGCACTGCGGAGCGCGAACGACGGGGGCGGGGCAGGGGCGGCGGCCTCTGCACTTGCACTAGTGCAGCGAGCCCCGCCCCGCCCCACCTCAACGTCACTCGTATTTATAAATGGCAAGACAAGACCACCTTGCCACGCCTCGACGCGCCACGCCACGCCACGCCACGGCCAGGACCGGCATCAGTACAAGTAGTAAGTGAGTAGTCTCGGTAGTACCCCGCCCCGCCCCGCCCCGCCTCGAACCCATATGGCCGCCCGTTCATCAAGTGAGGCGACGTTCAGAATTCAGCAGCGCCGTGCGCACTGGCAAAAACAAGAAACAGAGAAGCGTCGGAGCGGAGCGGGACGCTATCAACGCTACTACCAGTGCGATGCGTGCGGCATCCACCTCCGCCAACGACCATACCACGCTGGGTCCACCGGTTCCCTTCCGCACACCGAAGTTAAGCAGCGTTGGGTGCGGTCAGTACTTAGATGGGTGACCGCTTGGGAACACCGCATTTCGTTGGCATTCTCTTTCTTTTCCTCTTCGCGCTAGACGAGAACTAGAAGAAAGGGAAGAGGAGGGCAACATATTCTTTTCACACACGACATGCAAGGATCAAGTTAGAGCAAAATGAGTAAAAGAAAAGACGAGGCCCGTAGGCCCCTATTTAAATTCGAACTGTAGATGGCGCGCAAACATGGGCAAGCAGGCTGGGCAACTGCGTCCTGCTCCCCGCAAGCCGTTTTCGATACGACAATGCCTCTGGGAAGTGCGATGTGGTTCCGCAAGGGATCATCGCGACGGTTCGAATGCCTGCCGCCTCATTTGATTAGCTACCGCTTCGCCAAACGCGGCCGAACGATTCGCCGGCGAGGATGCCACTCTTCCGCAGCGCGAGAGTGGCAGCAGTGTGTGCCTACCCCCTCCTCGAGGCTCCTTGTTATGGTCCGCGCGGCGCAGTGACATAACCTCAACTTTTCGACAAGATTATCCCTCGGCTGGAGTGAGAGGAGGCCCTAGAATGGTGGCAAAGATTGTCGTCGTCGGTTCCTGCATGATCGACTTGAACTGGTCAGTGTTGAATATTGTGTTTGAGAAGTATTTCTCCCACGCCCTTTGGCACGCTGTTCATTTTCAAGTCGAATGTCAGGTTATTTCCTTATCTGCTTCGCGATGGGTCAAAAACTTGGGTGCTTTTATCTGCCCGCTCATTGCGACGGCGGACGTTGACATGAAGTGCTTGAGGCGTGCCGTCTCCGTCGCCCCGGCCCGGGACTCGCGGCGATACCCCCTCCACTCCGGAGCGCGGGGTAGTCCCGCTGGCGGCCCGCTTTCCTTAGCATTCCCCGAACGTTCGCAACGTCGAACTGCGCAGTAGAAGCCATCCATTCTTAAGTATTGCTGGCGTTGCGTCAGCGAGGCAAGGGAAGCAGATTATTTGAGTTATAGCGAAGAGGCATGCCGCTGGCCGTACATGGCCCGAAGAGACATAACCCGCTGCAGAATCTGGAGAATGGAGTATACACGGCCGGCATTGCGGGCCGTGGAGCCGCGGGGCCACTGTGTGATGTACTGGAGCAGCGTGTTGTCGTTGCAGCTACTCCAAGCGCCTGCCGAAATGCGGGGAGACTCTCACCGGGGACAAGTTCAGCATCGGCTTCGGCGGCAAGGGCGCCAACCAGTGCGTGGCCGCGGCGCGCATCGGCGGGGAGGACGTCCAGGCCACCCTCGTGGCCAGGGTAATGCCGCCTTCACTTGTTGGCCTTCTCGGCGGAATTTCCAGACAAGTGGCGTTACGGGCGCTGTGTTTGTAGGTCGGCGATGACACCTTCGGCGCCGACTACCTCGCCAACCTGCGGAAGAGCAACATCGACACCGAGTTCGTCAAGGTCACGCCCCAGCAGCACAGCGGCGTGGCGCAGATTTCTGTGGCCGAGACTGGTAAGCGCGGCGCCCCGGGTTCGACTCCCGCCTCCGCGTGCCGTTTTGCTGTATTTCTCACCCAGTGGTTACCTGCCTCGCCAGGTGACAACACCATCGTTATCGTCCCGGGGGCCAACACGTGCCTGAGCGCGGCCGACGTGCAGGCAGCCCGGCAGCGCGTCGAGGAGGCCGACGTGGCCCTGTTCCAGTTCGAGACCCCCGTCGGCACCACCCTGGAGGCCCTGCGTCTGAGACGGGCGGCGGGGAAAGGTCGGTTCATTCTAGATTCCAGCGCAAGCCGCACTGGACCGTCCGCGCGCGGGGTATCGCCGGAGGTCATTTAACCGGCGCGTTCGGCGCGTACCCCGTGCCGGAGTCTCTGGCGCGAGGGGTATCCCCGCGGCGGTCCTTTCGCTGCCTCGCTGCCAGCCGGGCTTCACTTTCGCTAGCACACTGACACACTGCCGGCCCGCCCGGCCCTGGCTGTCTGGCACAGGCATCTCCATTGTGAACGCCGCCCCGGCCGTGGCCGACCCTGACCCCGAAGTCTTCAAGCTGTCCGACATTTTCTGTGTCAACGAAACCGAGGTAGGGGCTTGGGGCTTGGGGGTCGTCGTGAAGTGTCGTTCTCCAGTGCACACTCATTCCGAGAGTCCTTTTCGTCGCTCTGTCTCTCTCGCACCCATGGGACGTCTCCGGCAGAGCTCTCCATTTCGGCCTCCTGTGACCGACTGCGCTGACCGCGCCGGTCGGCGTCCGACCGCCTGCCCGCCCGCTTGCTGGCCAGTCCACTCGCTCCGGCTCCGGCGCATCCCGGCGCAGCGTGGCGCAGCGTGGCGTGGCGTTGCCAGAGAGCTAGAGCCGGCCGCTTGGTAGGCGGTCGGGCTGCGACCGCCCGGTCGGCTACTAGACCGGCCCCGGTCGGTCGCCACTGAGCAGCGTCCGACCGCCAGGCGGTCGGGGCATGGGACACTCCGACCGCCTGGCGGTCGGCAGCGGTCGGTCGCAGGAGGCCAAAATGGAGAGCTCTGGTCTCCGGACGTCTCCTATAGGTGCGAGAGAGACAGAGCGACGAAAAAGCCTCTCGGAATCAGTCTGCAGTAACGGATCAACAACGTCCCCTTACCCTTCCCTTCCAGGCGGAGGCGTTGACGGGGCTGTCCTTGTCCGCTGGGGAAGGCCCGGGCGCGCTGGTCGCGGCGGCGGGGAAGGCCGCGGAGGCCCTGCTGCAGAAGGGGTGCCGCGTGGTGATCCTCACCCTGGGCGCTCACGGCGCCGTCGTCGCGGACCCCAGCCGCCTCGCGGCGCCCCGCCACATCCCCGCCAGCCCCACCAAGGCCGTGGACACGACGGTGCGTATGGGTGGACAGTGTTTCCGCGGTTTATAAAAGAAAAGCTCTACGTCAATGTGTGGAAAACATGATCCGCAAGAAATACAAAACACCCAAAAAAGAAAAACAACTGTGCGCGTGGTGGGCGGTGGGCGCCCGCCAAATGGAGGGTAGGCAACCCTCGGAGCGTCAATGCTGCGCGGGAGAGCCTATCCTCGAATTGGCGGGCGTCTGGCTTGCTACGCGACTCGGCTGTCTGTTTGTCATTTGGCTTCCGTCCGTTCCAGGGAGCGGGAGACGCCTTCCTGGGCGCGCTGGCGTACTTCTTGGCGGCCAGGCCGCATCTCGAACTCCCGGAGCAGGTGCGTCGGGCAATGGGGTACGCCACGCTCTCCGTGGAGAAGCTCGGCACCCAGGACAGCTTCCCTCTCAGGGACAGTGTTCCGGCAGAACTATTGAAATAAGTAAACACTAAAGAGGCATAAAATAATGGATCACTTTTATTGGGGAAAAAAATGGTGTATAAAGAATTCCTGTGTATTACATGGCATTGCTTTTCGTATTAAAGCTTTATTTTGACTAGAAGTTTGTTTCTGATTTCTTCTTAAACCTACAGGTTTATACTCTATGGAAGACATTTATCACCACTGTGTAATCATTCATTGAGTTCTGTTTGAAAAATTGCCTATTTCTAGAAAAAATATTAAGCAATAGTAATGAAACAATAATGATAGATTGTAAAAGATGAACAGCATGATTTTTTGAATGAAACTTAAATACTACGGTAGCTAATAGCAGCGTCTTGAAGACTCGGAGTATTTGCTTTTCAGCTCTGTCTTAAACTGCCTGTAGAGTCTTCGATTTAGTTCAAGTTCATCTTCCTTTCCTGGGTGAAATGAGTCTTTGGTTTTGAAGCCATTGTGGACTACAAAGGCTTTGTTTAGCACTGTGAACTTAAAGCCTGCCACGTGAAGTTCACACACCTAAAATGATACCATGATCCCATCAACACCAAACCTTTCAAAATTCAAAAATAAAATTTGGTGATATTTTACCTGGCTGATGCGGTTGAATCCATACTGCTTGAAGCGCTCATCATAAAAAGGCACAGAGTTCAGGGATATGTAAAATGGCTCCCATGGGTCTTTCCACAGTACATCGTATGTTGGTGCTAACTTTTTGTGCACTGGTTGATGAAGCCAGGTTTCATAATCTGTATGTGCCTGAGAAGACAGAACATATTAATGAGTGACTCAATATAAGCTACAATGGGAAAATAAACCCTGAATGAATAGAAGTCTTACATGGCACTTCCAACAAAGTTGTGCATAAAAGGGACGAACATTTCCAGCCTCAACAGCACGAATGAGTTCCACCTTTGTTTGAGGAATAATGTTGCCTTCAAAAGCAGGTATCACAAAAACAGTCTTGTCTAAAGTAAGATTCTTTTGAAACCAACTGTTGTGGGTCGCAAGGTGCAGAAAATCCTAAGCCCAGAGAAATGATAAGAAAAAATATATTCGCCAGGCTTAAAGTAAAAGTATGATTATTTACCTCTCTGAGTCCTTGACTTGGCACCATATCAACGTCAATCACTAATACAAAATCTGTTACAGCTGCTCTGCGAGCAGTATTTCTTAACAGGTTGTTAGGGTAAGCATCAATATGGTTGTAATTGCTCTCCGAAGCATTCTGTTGAGGAATACTGGCTGGTTTGGAGGGTAGTCCACCAGCAGCACTAACTGGCCACACAAATGAAAATGTTACATAGTTTTTAAGAAACTCCTCTGACAAATGTAATTTTGCCAGTTCTAGAAGTGTGGACCATTCATGCCCTGATCTTGCAAACACTGCAACAGACAAGGGCCCCTGGAACAAGAATAATACACATAAACATAACACTGTGGTCAAGAAAATTCCAGTACACACCTAGGGAGTCTTATAATTATGGGTACCTTCCACTGATGTGCCAGCCGAATGAGAGAAGGCAAGTGATCTTGTGAACATTGAGTGACAAGAGTAATGTCTTGTAAGTGACTTCTAGAGTCTCTTTCGTAGGGCTGCAACAAACTTATGTGATATTCGCCACTGGTGTCCAAAACCCAATTTCTTTCAATAAATGCCGCAAAGGCTGACAATTCTTCTTCGACCTGTATAGTTCATATACATATGTAATGACTGCAAAAAAAGAGTTTAACGAAACAATCAGCAATGCGAACTAGTCGTTATTACCTGGTCGCCAGCAGGGCTGTATTTGGGCAATTGTCCATATGCTGGTTGCGGGACATGATTATTCTTGCGCTGGCGAGATTCTAAGCGATTCAGGAGGATGATGTGGATGAGCTGGAGCAAACCAACTACTCCTATCAAAAACAGCATCAACCTCCCACACAAGAAACGGTGCATGATCCCAGTAGACCGTCATAATTGACACCACCCCACAAATCAAAGAATTTTCAAGTTCATTTTGAGTACGAGGTGGCGGTTTAAGTCCTCATCTGATTGAATTTTAAGTTAAACTCAGTCCAAACAACGTTTTGCATTCGCACTTCTCAGCATCACAAAGCAGACCCAGCAGACGCTTTAGGCTTGACATTTGTTTATGCCCAACGATTTCTCATCATTAAGAAAGCGAGTATGAAAACATTTCTGTTCAGAAAGGGGAAGGGGGAGGAGGAGAGGAAAGGAAAGGGGTACGGGAACCACAACCAACAAACGTTGAGTGGCGGTATTTTATTTTGTTTGATAGTTACTCCTATTTCCCATATTGTATTTTTGATTCTGTGAAGTTCATCTGATCACACGGTTCGGACGTCCGTTTTGTAATTTGAAGCCTCGGCCATCACGATGGAGCGACCACAGAAAATGCCCAAAGTGGCGAAGGTAAGTTAGGTTAAGCGTCTCACTACCAAACCCATCATATTATATTTGGTAGGAGAAGGCTTCCTATTTTCTCCTTTTAAATTAAAATCAAATTAAAATTTATTTCACCATTTTTATCCATCTCTGTTTATCAACTATTACCAAATTTCAAGAGTAACGGGGCATGACATCTGCATCGACTGTGTGCTCATCTATTTATCCACCTTAAAAGTCTTTCTAGTGGCACATCTTTTAATGTAAATAACTCCTTGACATTGTTTGTGTTCTTGGATTTTGACATTTATGTATGTGCCCTCAGGTGAAGAATAAGGCTCCGGCAGAGATCCAAATTACTGCTGAGCAGCTCCTGCGAGAAGCCAAGGAACGTGATCTTGAAATCCTTCCCCCGGTAAGTAAAAGAAATTATTCTGCTCTGCATTTTTTAATAAAATTTTGCAGCTCTAAGTTTCATCCTTAATCGTATGTCTACAATTTTCTTTCCAGCCTCCTAAGCAAAAGATCTCTGATCCAGAGGAACTTGCAGATTACCAACACAGAAAGCGCAGAGCTTTTGAAGATGGCATCAGGAAAAATCGCAGCGTTATTACCAATTGGATCAAATATGCCCAATGGGAGGAAAGTCAAAAAGAGGTTCCCAGGTATAATAATAATAATATGCACTTCATGTGGAAGCAATGGTTGTTTATATTTGAAGAATATCTCAATGATTTTTTTCCACTTCATTTCAGAGCCCGGTCTATTTATGAGAGAGCATTGGATGTTGATCATCGCAATATTACACTTTGGCTTAAGTACACAGAACTGGAAATGCGAGCCAGACAAGTCAACCATGCTCGTAATTTATGGGATCGGGCAGTCACCATATTACCAAGAGCCAATCAATTTTGGTACAAGTACACCTACATGGAAGAAATGTTGGGCAACATTGCAGGTAAACCTTTCTTATCCTTTGTTTCTGTAACTATTTGTCCAGAAATTGCATTACCTGTCAATGGCATTTCTAGAATTGTCTAATGATCTGATACAACAAACCTTCTTATCTACAGGAGCCCGACAGGTATTTGATCGTTGGATGGAGTGGGAACCTGATGAACAAGCCTGGTTGACATACATCAAGTTTGAAATGAGGTATAAAGAGATTGACAGAGCCCGTAAAATTTATGAAAAATTTGTGTATGTTCATCCAGATGTCAAAAATTGGATAAAGTTTGCTCGGTAAGTTCATTTAAATCTTTCCTATGCCATGACTGGTTGAAGATTTGCTTGATTTAATATGTAAAACAGTAACTAACACACAGTTTGGTGGACACAGGTTTGAAGAGAATAATGGTTTTATCAGTGGTGCTAGGAAAGTGTATGAAAGAGCTGTAGAATTCTTTGGAGAGGAAACCTTAGATGAAAAGCTATTTATTGCTTTTGCTAAATTTGAGGAAGGTCAAAGAGAGCATGACAGAGCGAGAGTAATTTACAAGTATGCTCTGGATAATATTCCAAAAGAGTATGCTCAAGAACTGTACAAAAATTACACCATTCATGAGAAAAAGTATGGTGATAGAACTGGCATTGAAGACGTTATTGTCAGCAAGCGCAAGTTTCAATATGAAGAGGTTAGTGGTGATTTATTTTGTTGGAATGCATTTTATTAGTAGAGTTCAAATTTAATTGTAAGCTATAATATCTTTTCATCAATTTAGGAAGTGAAAGCCAATCCCAACAACTATGATGCTTGGTTTGATTACCTCAGATTAGTAGAATCGGAAGGCAATCCAGACCAAATCAGAGAAACGTATGAAAGAGCCATTGCCAATGTACCTCCAACAAAAGTGAGTTTCCTTTCCTTCTTTAGTAAATTTAATCTGTTGTCAAAGAACCACAACAAATTTTTTTATTTACCATGTTTTTGTTTTTTAGGAAAAGCAATTTTGGAGAAGGTACATCTATTTGTGGATAAATTATGCTCTGTGGGAAGAACTCACTGCAGCAGATGAAGAAAGGACCAGGCAAGTTTATAGAGCATGTATTCAACTCATTCCTCATAAGATATTTACATTCACCAAGGTGTGGCTCCTGTATGCCCATTTTGAAATAAGGTGTAAAAACCTCTCTGCAGCTAGGAAATCCCTGGTGAGTTCTTTGCAGTTATTTCTGACTTAAAGTTGTGTTCCGCAAGAACTACAATGTTTGCTTTTGGTTACAGGGTATGGCTCTAGGAATGTGCCCTAAGGATAAATTATTCCGTGGTTATATAGACTTGGAGATTCAACTCAGAGAATTTGACCGGTGTCGTACATTATATGAGAAATTTTTGGAGTTTGGCTCTGAAAATTGTATTACATGGATGAGGGTAAAGAATAACATTTTTGTGATTGTAATTTTTATTTTGTCTCTTTATTTTTTTAATAATAATCTTTTTCTATAGTTTGCAGAATTAGAAATGCTGTTAGGAGATATGGATCGAGCTCGAGCCATATATGAATTAGCTGTTTCTCAACCTCGTTTAGACATGCCTGAGCTTCTCTGGAAGGCATACATTGACTTTGAGACTGGACTGGGCGAATTTGACAAAGCTCGAGGCCTTTATGAACGTCTTTTGGAGAGAACATTGCATGTCAAGGTATTTGGTGATACTATAAACCGATTTTTTTGGAAACCGAAGGATTTGGGACTGTGGTAACAAAACGTCCATTTTTTGTTTACGCAGGTTTGGATGAGTTACGCCCAGTTTGAGATGTCTTGTGCCGAATCCCAAGATGACGAAGAAGAAAACTCTGAAGAGGCTGCTGACCGAGCTGCAATGGCTGTCTCCCTTGCAAGAAGAGTTTATGAAAGGGCAAACACTTCTCTGCGTAGTGTTACTGACAAGGAAGAGCGAGTGCTTTTGCTTGAAGCGTGGCGCACTTTTGAGGAGACACATGGAGATGAGGCCTCATTAGAGAAAGTCAAACAGCGTATGCCTCGTCGTATCAAGAGGAGACAACGTGTTCAAGCAGAGGATGGGGTACGTTGCTTTAACATGTCAAAGAAAGAGAGGAGTGGGAGCAAGATTATATTTTATTCAAGGAAGGGATTCGACTCAATGTGTAAGTCTTACCTTACTTTCATTCTTTTTTTTTTTCAGACCGAAGAAGGCTGGGAAGAATTCTTTGATTACATATTCCCTGAGGATGAATCTGCCAAACCCAACCTCAAATTGCTCGCCAATGCTAAACTTTGGAAGCAAAAGCTGCAGGAAATGTCCAACGACTCAGAAGGCTCTCCTAAGGATGATGAAAATGAGGATGGGCAAGGTGAACAAGGAGACAGTGACACCAGTGTCAGCAGTAGTAGTGAAGATGAAAGTGAAGAAGAAAAGGAAACAGGAGATAAGAAGAAGCAAGAGTAACACTTCCTTTCCTTTTTATTTCCTTTTTTTTTCCCATGTTTCAATGTAACACAGCATACATCCGTGTTTGGACTTGTAAATTTTGTAATGTCTGACTTATGAACTTTGCATCAATTGATAAACTCTGTATATATTAGAATTAGTTTCGGGTAAATAAAATTAACCCGTTTTACTGTACTTTGTGCTGCCTAATTCACTGAGTTCCCACCATTCAGTCAATCTCAGTATCACTGTGCGGGGGTTCAGGCTGCGGGGGTGGTTTCGACAGTTCGCACGCCAAGAAGGCCCTGTCTGCGTTGGCCAGACTGATCCACCAGCAGGGCCTCGGCGCTCTCAGCCCCGGCCCCAGTGGAGTGGTCCCGAAAATCATCCGCCAAGGAGGGACCGCTAGGAAGCCGCAGCCGGCCTGGTCGGTGACGATGGTGACGGTGGGCCCCTTGGGGGCCGGGGCGGGCGGGGCCTCCCCGGTCACGGAGGCCCGCGCAGTCCCAGGCTGCTGCCGCCTGGACACAGAAAAAGAACCGTCTCTGAAACACCTCGTTCACTCCTGAGCTCGGAAGGCCAGTCAGAGGGGAGGGAAGGGTAAGGGTACCTCATGGACGCGTCAGCCGAGTCCGGACCGAGTGTGGCGGCATCTCGCTGGTTCAAGGCCGTTCTAGGCAGTGCAAGGTCAAGGTGGCTGGGTCTTGTCCGGCCTTATCAGAGCACGGCCATGTCCACGCTCGTCGCACACCGCAGCCCGCATTTGTGCACGGCGGCCACCAGGACCACGCCGCGCCAGGCCCTTCCCGCAGCGACGGGCCTTGCGCCACGTGAGCTGCCCGGGGCCCTCAACGCCCTCTGCAACGAGCGGCACCGACATTGAGTCTTGCCAAAGGACCAGACCACTGTTTCGGCCCTTAGAGGTGGACGCTGGAATCATTTGAGCCTGCGCCGTAAGGGTTGGCAAGCCATCCTCTTCAGCCTCTCCACCGCGCTAGAGCTCAACTCTAGCGTCACGGGAAAATTCATTTTCACAACAAATAGAACGCCTCAAAGCCCAGTGGGCACCGGACATCTATTTCTTAGACACACAACAACGTTCCCTATGAATTTCAGACAAATCGGAGATGGTCGACCATTTTCGTCGAAAATAAGCTAAGACTCATGGGTTTTTATCGTTTTCGGTCAAAATTTCAAAATGACCCAAACTTTGGTATATTGTGCTGGAGCACTCCCCAGCACCTATAATCACTTTTTTGGATGTCCATTTTGGCACGTAACATTCTTTTTCTGGTTTTAGTTTCGATGCAGGTTTCCCTGATGGTGTCGAATGGGTGGCCTACCCTCCCGGCGCTCGCCCGGCAGTGCTAGGCCTTGCTTTACATAGATGGCCTGTTTCAAGGGTTTCAAGCGGTACGCGGAGGGAATAGCTGCCGGATATGTCTGTTTGTGAACCGGATTTGATTTTGACTAGACCGGTGTCACTTCTTTCTCCGCGCACCGCTGGCTATACTTCACACGCGCTGCGTTCGCACTCAGCAAGGCTGGGGGGGATGACGAAAGTGATGTCTAGCGTCGTGTGCAGGACTGCAGGGAAGACGAGACGCGGCTCCTGGCTGCCGCTTCTCATGGCGCTGCTCGTAGCACTGCAGCGCTATTCCGAAGAATCGTTTCGTCGCTCTGTCTCTCTCGCACCCTTAGGGGCGGCCCCACGAGTGCGAGAGAGACAGGGCGAGGAGCCAGGGTGCAGCGGTGCGGGGAAGGCACTGGCTGCACTTCTCCCGCCGCGGCGGCGACCTCGCCGTGAATCTGGCCAAGCCGCCTCCACTCGTCCCCTGCGGGGCCTGCGGCCCGATTCCGAACGGGGCTTTCTCTCTCCGTCGCACTCATGGCGCGTCCCGCGGGGGAGCGAGAGAGACGGCTCGGAACCAGACTTACGGGCCGCGGAACGCGCGACGAGTTCTGACGAGACGAGCTCCGCGACGACAAAACGCGCCGACGCCCACGGGCAGCCCTGGCCCCGCGTCGGGCGGGCGGGCGGACGGACGGACAGACAGACAGACAGACAGACAGACAGACAGACAGACAGACAGACAGACAGACAGACAGACAGACAGACAGACAGACAGACAGACAGACAGACAGACAGACAGACAGGCGGACGGACGGACATGACACGCGGCATTCACGGCCTGTCCATTGGTACCTTGGATGCCCCCGCGGCCCGCCCCGCGGCCTGCTGGGCCTGCCGGCCTGCTGGCCAAGCGCGTGTTGCCCGGCAGCGGACAGCGAGTGGAGCAGACTGTGCCCACTGTGCCATTATTACTCCCGTTTGCCCGCCGCCCGGGACGTAGGCATCCCACCTGGCGCTCCGGCACCGCCCAGTCGTTGACGGTGACGGTGATGATGGCGGCGCTCCGGGTCCAGCGTCCCTCTCGCACTCACGGAGCGTCCGGTGAGGGTGCGAGAGAGACAGCGATGAAAGCAGAAGCCAGCAGAAGCGCGAGGCGACCCGCCACCGCGGACGGCGCAACGCCTTCAGTGATTATTGGCTCGCGTTTTTCATCCGGCCCCGTCCCTCCCCTTCCCGCCCCGCGGTGTCCGTGTCGACAGTGTCGACTCGCCGCGGCGAAGATCGGCGAAACCGGTGCGTCGGCGAATAGCTGAGCGAATAAATAGCTCGGCGTGCCGCTCCTCGTCGGCGTCGTCGTCGTCGTCGTCTCCGAGGCTGCGCCGTGTCGAGCCGTGCCGCGCCCGGCCGCGCCGCGCTGCAGATGGTGCAAGCCTTTTGCCTTAGCCAGACTTGCCGGCCGAACTGACGCGCGACTTGAGGCCCCGCCCCGCCCCGCCCCGCCCCGCCCCGCCCGCGCCCGCCGCCACCAAGCACCAGCTGATGAAGGTGAACCGCTACCCGCACCACAGCCCGGCGAGGCGACGCGGCTACGCCCGGCAGGACGAGACGAGACAGCCACGTTCACGCCGCGTGATTCCGAGACATTTTCGTCCCCCTCCCCTTGTTTCGGTGCCCTCCCCGGCGCCCTTTGCCCTGTCCACACGTCCACATCCGCCAGCCAGCCAGCCAGCCGGCCCGATTTCCTCTTGGCCGCGCCGCGCCTCGCACCTGAACAACCAGAGGGGCTGCCTAACGAGCCGTCGGCCGCGGAGCGCGGTGCAGCGCGGTGCAGCGCGGTGCAACGCAGTGCAACGCAGTGCAACGCCGCCTCGGGGCCGATGGGACACAACAGGGACCTAACTGGACGCTATGCAGTCTCGGCCCCCCGGCCGGGCAGCTGGGGCACTGCAAGCCGCTGCACTGGAAGGCCTGCAAGGCGTGCGGTAACGGCATTGTGCCTTTACCTCGTGCCCCTGCTCCCTGAAGTCCGCAGTCCCTGTTCCCGCGCAACCTTGCCGCCTTGCCCCGCGGAGCTTGCGCTTACTGTCGGCGTGCCGGCTCCCTGCCTGCACAGCGGCCGGCCCGGCCCGCCCCGTTTAGCGGCTCGGCTCCTAGAAGGGCCAGGGCCTAGCCAGAGCTAGAGCCCTTCCTTCTGCAGGTCGCACTGCGCGGACAGGCACGGCGGCTGCGTTGGTTGGCGTTATCGGCCGACCGCACTAGCGCGGGCGGAGCCCTAGAGCAGGCCGAGCAAGCAGCACTTAGCCCACACGTGGCTCTGCCAGCGGGCTCATTGCGAGAGTCGTTTGCGTCGCTCTGTCTCTCTCGCACTCACGGGACGCTCCGCGTTGGTGCGAGAGAGACAGAGCGGCGAAAACGACTCTCGGAATCAGTCTGCAGGCCCTGCCAATCGGCAATGGGCTCGCGGCTCGCGCGGCTAGCGCGGCTGCCGAGCCGTTCGGGAGAGTCGTTTGGTCGGTCTGTCTTTGTCGCACTCATGACGCTCTCCGTGACGGCGCGAGAGAGACAGAGCGACGAAAAACGACGCCTCTGATTCTCTCGGGCTGACGATACCCCGCGCGGCGGTGCCGTCGTCGTGCCCCCGCGGCAGCCGCCGTCGCCCCGGCGCGCGGGGTATCGCCGGTGCCGCGGATTCCTCGCAAGCTTGAAAAACACAACACCGGACTACGCTCTTACGCTGAGCGGGCGCTACGCCCCGCCACCGCCACGCTCGGGCCGCGGCCGCTCGGCGCGCAGGCCAGGCAGGCCAGGCAGGCCGCCCAGCTGACAGACACTACGCTCGTAATAATGGGGCGGGGCGCTCGGCTCGCGCTTGGCTCGGCGGCGCTCAGCGGTATGGTCACGCCACGGCGGGTCGCCGACTTGTCAGGGGCGGCCCCGTGTACTCCCGTCCTTGCTCACACTGGGGCAGAAGACCGGTGGCAGCGGTCAAAACCCCGGACGCGTTTTGAGCTCCGGGGTCGTTGAATGGTACTTGAACCGAACGTGTGACCCCCTCGTTCGGAGAGCAATCCATTGATGGGGGTCACACGTTCAGCTCGAGTCCCATGTCCCATTTAGCGACTCTGGAGCTCAAAACGCGTTCGGGGTTTTGACCGCCTCCACCGGTCTTTCGGCACATCCAGTGACTCGCCGTTACAGCCATCGGGCAGCACACCGAGACCTCGCCGAGGAGAAGAGCCTCGACTCGCCTTTTCTCCTTATCAACGCTCGCCTGCACGCTGATTCCGAATTCAGTCGCCATCTCTCTCGCACTCTCGGGGCGCCCCGCGTGGGTGCGAGGGAGAGCGACGAGTGTAGAATCGGCCCGCTGTCTCGCTCGCGCCACCGCGGGGCCCCGCAGGTTCCCCCTCCCCCGAGGCCCGTCTCAGCGCTGGCCAGTCGTGACGCTAGAACGTGTTTACATATTCAAGTTTTCCTCGGTCTGCAGACTGATTCCGAGAGTCGTTTTCGTCGCGCTGTCCCTCTCGCACCCCAAGGGCACGCCCCGTGAGTGCGAGAGAGACAGCGCGACGAAAACGACTCTCGGAATGAGTCTGCTGGTCGCGAGGCGAGGCGCCGTGGCGTTGACACAGCGGACGGCCCGTAACTTCATTGCTTTAATTCAAGTCCACGCCGCGTGTCCGCGTGTCTACGGTGTTGGTGGCGCTGCAGCGCGCAGCCGCCTCTCCCATGGTCGCCGGCCGCGCCCCCAGGCCCTCGGGCAGCCCTCGGGCCCCTCAGGGTGTTCCGGCGAGGTGCCAGCCCTTGTTACGCCCTGTTCGCCTTCACCTTTGACAGGAAGGTGGTCGACCCCTTATCGAAGTCCTTGTCGATAGGATAGGTGGATGGGACGGGCGCGCCGCGACGCCGCGACGCGCTGGTTGGGTTAGGTTCACTTGAGAGGCCGACTCGCCTGCCGCGGAGTGGCGCAGTGGTGAAAGTGGGACAAGTGGACAAAGTCATTTTCGTCTTTGCTTTGTTTTTTTAGAGTTTCCTTTTGTGCATTTCGTTTTATGTGGATGTTATTTTCTGGGGACTTGGTAAAATAGACTCTGTTTTTTCAGGTACGACTTTTTATTATTTTTTTCGTTGTTTAGAGGCACCTTCATATTGCCAGGTAACATTTCCATATTTTGGTTCAGGACGATTATAAACGTAAAACAATTATTAAAACTATGATTGTAGAACATTAGTAATGCTGTCGTAATATAAGCGATATACATTGTAAAACACTCTTGCTATAAAATACTGAGCGAACCGCACGAACGCAGAAAGCAGCACATTTTCGAAAGCACTTGGTGAAAACTGCTCTACACGCTATCGCCATTGGTCGTCCGAATCGGGACAGATTAACATTAATAGTACACTTGTGCCCAAGCTGCTCATGCGTTGGAAAATATTTACAAAGCTGGAGGAAAATCAGCGATTTCTACCCCTCGCAAACATATTTTACAAAACAGATTGCAAAGTAAGCCACGAAATTGGAAAAAAAAATGGGGCGGGCCGCCGAGCCAGAGTTGCCCGTCCGAGTCGGACAACTAGTTCGACTCCATGGCGTCACCCTTACATTTCATTGAAAGCCCTCATTTTCGAGTTTTAAGGCACGTCCCGTGCGATCCGCCGTCCTCTTTCCTCCTCAGTTCGTTTCGTACGCAGGCTACTACATACTACGCCGTGTAAACCGACAATTGACAAAATAAATGGCCGTAAAAGGAAGCAAACACACTACAGGTAGGTTACGAAAATAAGTAGGCAGTCTTTCGGGGATACTACTTCGGTCACGTGCGCCAGATAGCACTAGAACTACAGTGTGCCGACGCGTGGTGGCGGCCGCGCCTCGAGAAAGCGTGCGGACGAACGGGGGGCCGTCCGTAAGCCGACGAAGGCACGGGGGCCGCCACCTCGACGGCGACGCGGCGACACGACACGACGCGCGTGGCGGCGCCTCTCGGAGCCGAAGGGGTAATGAGGAGGAGCCGTCGACTCCATGACTGATAGTTGACGGAAAGTGCCATCGTCAGGTGCCTGCTAGCTAGACAGTTTGCGTCAAAAGAGATAGGACATGGCAGATAAAAGGCCAAGTGCTCCTAACGGGCTGGGCCCGGCCAGCCTGGGCCAGCCTGGCTGCTGAGCCACGACGGCTGAGCCCTGCACCGCACTGCTGTCCTCCGCTTTGGCGGCGGGCGGCAGCGCGGCGGGGATGGATCGGCTCAGCGCGACCGGATTCAGGGTTTGCCAGTTTTCCTCCTCTTTTGAATAACACGGCCCCCGTCAAGGACGGCAAGGACAACGCAAACGCAAAGCAGATGGCAACAGGAAGATGACCGTTGCGGCGAGTTCCCGCAAGTTACTCTGAATAATAATAATACTAATGGGAAAACAAGCGTGATTTTTTTTTGCACATGGGGAAACTTGGGTACACTTCTGCCAGGAACAAAACAATAACCAAAAGAACGGAGAGATTTTTAACGCTAGACAATTCATCGTTTGGTTTTCCTGGCACGCTGGCTGCGCTACACTGGAATCAGTCTGTTCCCCTTCCTACTTGCTTCCATTGCGAGACCTAAAACTGCGTCCCGAATCATGGCGTGTGCACCGCGGCCGGAGCCTTTCGAGACTCGATCACAGAGTCACCGAGTCGCAGATAAGCCCGATGACGTGCTTTCAGATCTCAGGCACTTAGACTAATCTCTTCGTTTACAATTAAATGGAACAAATCGTCTGACTGCTCACGCAGCATTGGCCGCCCTGCTGTCGCAAGGTTGGGTCCGTCCGTTTTTACAACAATTATTGGAAAGTTCATGAAACACTTAAATTAATTACGGAAGAGATATTATTTAAGTTGCAGGGAATTGTTCGTCACTATGGACCAGCAAATCCGTGCCTTTTGTTCAGTATATTCTCATTTTTTTAAATAATTTTTTTCTTGTGTTCATAGGCCAGGGACCAAAGGAAGCAAACACTTTTAGAAGATGCAGATAAAACTCTGCAGACCTAAATCATTTTTAATCACTTCTCACTTGAGGTTGGTACACAATAGAGAATGCCGATTTAATACATTTTCGAATCAGAATCGAGATAATTCATTTTAACAGTGGTCCGATCATGGTCCGTGACGGCAGTTCGCCATTTTCTTCCCATTTGGTCCTCTAACAAAATTGGCCTTACTAGTTTCACAGGCTCTCGGGGTTGTCTCCCTTTATCAGGCTGTCAACAACCCAAACGCGGTTGAGAACCCGTTAGGTCATGTTAGCCATATCACAGCAGGACGAGAGACTTACATTACTTCACAGCCAAAATCAAATATATATAATATTTGCATTTATATAGAATGATATATAGATTTATGAACATTCGCGTGGTCTCGCCGAGGAAATGAAAAACGTCTTGCCAACGGTCCACTTGAGGAACCCCAGCGGCAGCAAAGCTTCACAACAGCCAAAACAATCTTGGAACAGGTAAAATAAGATCATTTTGAGCGTCACTCCCGCTGGGAACTGGTTTTACACAGCGCGTCCGAATGGTCCGAACGCGAATACAAAAGGCATCATCGTCAAGCTATGGTTCATTGCGGCAGTCTGCTTGGTACAAATTGCGAATCGCGCGTCGGCAAGACGCTTTTCTTTGAGAAGGCACTGTGCCATGGCGTGGCGGCCGGGCAGTGGCCGGGCGGGCCGAGGCCTCACGACTCCATGGTGGCCATGAGGCCGTGGAAGGCCAGGCCGTGCACGCCGTGCTGCATGCCGGACTGCAGGGTGGCCTGCGCCTGTCCGTGCGCCTGGCTGCAGCTGTAGGGCTGCAGGCCCTGCAGGCCCTGCAGGCTGTGTTGGAGCTGCAGGCTCACCCCCGCCCCCAGGCCCGCCCCCAGGCCCGCCCCCAGCCCCGCCCCCAGCCCCGCCGCCGCGCCGCCGGCCAGCCCCGCGGCCAGCGAGTCGTCGGCCGCCATGAGCCCCCCGAAGTAGGGCGCGATGTTTTCCCTGTCGTGGCCGGTGTGTGTGCCGCACTGTGAGTAGCGCCTGCTGCAGTAGTCGGCGCGCAGCGCGTCCTCGCAGGCGTTGGCGCAGGGCGCGCTGGCCAGCGGCACGCGCGGCTTGGAGCGCAGGTACACCTCGTCCTTGAAGTCCTCCAGGGTGTTGGTGGGGTCGGCCAGGGCGCGCGCCTCGTCGTCCGCGTCCAGGCGGTCCACCAGGCGGTCCACCAGGCGGGGGCGCTTGGCGGGCGAGGGGCAGGCCGAGGCCGAGGGGCAGGCCGCGCGGGGCGGCGAGGACGACGCGGACCGCTTGCAGGCCTCGTCGTCGCGGGCCTCGTCCTCGTCGATGGAGGTGATCATGCGCGGCGTGGGCGGCATGTAGAACTGGCTCAGCACGTCCTCCAGCTCCTCCAGGACCTGGCTCGGCGTGGCGGCCTCGGGGGCGACCGTCGTGATGACGGCGGGCTCCTCGTCGCGCAGCGGCGTCACCGCCGCGTCCGCGAACATGGCCTCGGTGACGGCGCTGACGGCGCTGACGGGCGCGGGGTTGCGCGCCTCCCGCTGCTCGCGCTGCAGCCGCCGCACCGTGTTGTTGATGAGCACGGAGCGGCGCAGCGCCGACTCGGGGTCCTCGATGCGCCGCAGCTTGCTGACGCTCAGCTTCAGCATGCGTCGGCGCTCCTCCTTGAGGCGGTACTTGGCCGAGATCATGGTGGGCCTCGCCGACCTCTCCACGGTCACGGCCTCCTTCATCTGCAAACACAAGGCAAACACTCGAGTCAGCTCGCTGCATGCGATAAAGTACACATCAAGGTTACATCACAGGGCCGCGCCTCCGACAAGACAGAGGCCGCCCACGTCTATCACGCGGTGCTCTAACCCTTCCGCGGCACCCAGCCTAACCTGCCCGTCTCTGGTACAGCACAGGGGAGACTCGGGGGACCCGGGGGACTGCACTGTGGGAAAATCCGTCGCCTTTTCGTTTGTCGCCGCTTTCACGACGCGACGCCCTGGCGGCCCGGACGGCCCTGACGCCCACCGCAAGCGGGGCAAGCGGCGCACCACGACACTGCCAACGGCCGGCCAGGAACAGGAAAGTCTACACCGCGCCGCCGCGCCGCCGCAAGCTTCGCAAGGCGCTGAACAACAACAACAAACCCGGCAAGCCAATAATCCAGCGTGCCGGACGCGGACGGGCCGGGCGAGGCGGCCACGCAAGCTAACCTTTTCTCTCCCAGCGACTCCGCGGAGGGCGACAAAGAGCCAGTGAGCAAGCAGGCCAGCAGTCCGACGTGCTCCCCGGCAGCTGCTATGACTAAATGGCCTGACTCCCTCATCGCGGCCGAGCCGGGCCGAGCCGAGCCCGGCCGAGCGCGGCGGTCCCGACGTAGCAGCGTAGCGCCCCGACTCCCTCGCGGTCCCGGCCGTCCCGGTCGCGGCTCCCTGTCACTTCGTTATCTCCGGCCGGGCCGGGCCGGGGAGGCGGTGGAGGGGGCGCAGCAGTGCTATCACGCACCGCGATAAAGAAGTCGGCGTCGTCACAGTGTAGTGTCACACTGCGCCGCGGTGACGTCACGGCGCCGCGACGCCCCGAGAGCGCCGCCGCCGCCGCCTCTCTCGCACCTGCACGGGACGAGCCGCGAGTGCGAGAGAGACAGCGCGCCGGTCCTGGTGGGGAGCGCCGCGCGGTGTCAATGAAATGAAGCTAAAGCGCGTGCCGCGCTACTGTAACACTGTAACGCGCTACGCTGTAACCCAGTAATCGCAGCGCGGCCGATTAACTGCGCATGCAAAACGCGGAGGGGCAGAGGCCCCGCCGGCCGGCCGGGCCCCGTGGGAGTTTCCGCGTTTCCGCGTGCCCGACAACTAACCGCTAGTTGTCCGCGCAGTGCCGCGCAGCGCCGCGCCACCGGCCGGGGTGTCCAGTGTAACCACATTGTTTTCGACTGCGCGCGCACCGCCCCGACCCCGACGGCCCCGACAGCGCAGCGGCCCAGCCCGGCGGCAGCGACCGCACGCCGCCTTTTCCCAATACCGCGCGCCGTTTTCCCAATACGAAAGTGAATCGGGGGCTCTTTTAGCGTGCGTCGTGGCTGCGCGGGGCCGGGCCGGGGCAGGCCCCCTGCCCCTTGCAGTCACGCAACAACTTATAATGCTGTCCTATCGACCTGTGTCCCGGCGGAAAGGGGCACCGCGCGTTCCGCACACGGTATCAATCCCCAAGCCATCCGCCCCAGCCGCCGTGCGCCCCCACGTCCAGGACGACTACCTCGGCGAAGGCACGGCGGCGGCCCCGAAACTCCCGCGGAAACTCCTTGGGAAGGAAATCAAGCCATCAAGACAACAAAATAGCCCGTGTGCCTCCTGTCAGCCTGCCTGCCTGCGTGCACCCGCCCCGCCCCGCCCCGCCAAGAGGCGGGAAACGCGATGCAAGCTTGCCACTCCCCAAACAATCAGCAAGGCGTGGACTGGCGAGGGGTGGCGGCGCGGCGGCAGCAGTAGGTCGTCACCCTCTCCCTGCTCCTCACCGTGGCGGGCCGGGGCGGGGTGGAGGTACAAAAGGGGCTCGATGAATTAGAGGTCGGTCGCTCAGTTGGTTTTGGTTTGACGTGAGAGCGCGAGGGCGAGAGGGAACCAGAGGGAGGAGAGAGTGAGTTGAAAGGGCGGCGCGCACACAAGCAACGCGCTTGAATGATGCCAAAAGGCTTCTTACACGCATCCACCCCGCGCGCGCACACAAGAAGCGCGCGCACACAAGAAGCGCGCGCACACAAGAAGCGCGCGCACACAGTATACACAAACTCCTTGTTGTTTTAAAAACGAAATGGAGTTTCATTGGCCTCGCTAGCCTCGCTCCGGGGACGAGGCCGCGCCGCTGCGCCGCCACCGCAGTGTAGTGGTGGAGGACGCCGTGAGCTCGTCCGATGTAATTGAGTCAGCCAGAGCAGCCAGCCAGTGAAATCACTTCGCCGAGGCACCGCGCCACCGCCGGCTTGACCGGGAAAGCGCTTTACCCCGGCGCGGCCTGGCTGGCCTGGCTGGCCCGGCGCGGCGCATCGGTGGGAAACGCTTCAGTAATGATAAGGGAGGTGGGGAGGCGGTGGAGGGGGGAGTGACCCACCCGCATATTCAGCGCACGCGTGGAGGAGCGTCGCGGCGTGGCGTCGCGGTGGGGCGAACCCCCTCCCCCTCCTCGCCCCCAGGCGCCGCCACCGCCGCCGCCCCAGCGCGCACGCCGCACGGCCGGGACACATAAGGACAGCGGCATCAGTGGGACACTTCTCCTTTTTCCCGCGAGCCCCTGTTACACTTTCCCGAGATGAATCCGCGCACAGTGGGCCAGAAGACCAGTGGAGGCGGCCAAAACTCTAGACGCGTTTTGAGCTCCAGAGTCGCTAAACAGGACTCGAAACGAGCGTGTGACCCCACCAATGGATTCCTCGCTCGGAGAGCAATCCATTGGTGGGGTCACACGTTCGGTTCGAGGCCTATTTAGAGACTCTGGAGCTCAAAACGCGTTTAGAGTTTTGGCCGCCTCCACTGGTCTTCTGGCCCACTGTGCCGCGGCGGCCGCGCAGCTGCAGGACGGATGGCCGCGGCCACGCCGACCAGTGCACCAGCGCGGCGCGCAGCTGCAGGTGACACCTGTTCTCGCGCCCGTCGCGTGGAAACCCAGAAAGGGGAGGGGGAACCATCCACGTTCCAGCCTTCCAGCCTTCCAGGCCTTCCAGGCCACGCGCGGCGCGTCCTCCTCCAGACTCATTCCGCGAGAGTCCTTTTCGTCGCTCTGTCTCTCTCGCACCTACAGGCGACGCCCCACGAGTGCGAGAGAGACAGAGCTACGACTCTCGGGATCAGCCTGCGGGCGGATTGCGAACTCGTCGCTCTGTCTCTCTCGCACCGCTTCCGGACGCCCCGCGAGTGCGAGAGAGACAAAGGCCGGAGCCCCGCGAGCGTGATAAAAGCGGCCAGGAGTCGCGCTGCTCGGAGACCGTCGGGGACCGTCGGAGACGCAGCGGCTGTTCTAATCACCGCGGAGCGCTGGAGGCCGGAGGGCGAGAAGGAAGAGGAGGAAGAGGGGCGGGGCAAAAGTCCACGGCAAATAAACTGCAATGACGCGCAGCCAGCGCGCAGCCCGGCAGCCGCAGCCATAATGTCGTGCGAAAGTGGTGGGTGCTTCATTCATCCCTCGGCGAGGGGAGGGAGGGGAGGGAGGGGAGGGGGAAAGGAGGGGAGGGAAGGGGGGAACGCCGCCGCCACCGCGGCGCGCACTCGGCGACCCGATTCACACACTGCACCGCGGCACCGCGACACCCAAGGCCGGCAGTCTGGCGTGTTGATGTTCGAATCGAACGCCGCGGCGCCGCCAAGACGACCTGCGTATCATTTTAATCAACGACCTCTTCGTCTGTCTTCGGCTGCCCAGCCGGTCGATTGCGCGCACACACACACACACACACACACACACACACACACACACACACACACACACACACACACAGGCCGTGCAGTGCGTGATGCACGTGTGTGATGCCGTGCGCCGCAACACGTCGCCGCGAGCGATTGGGGGCCGGTGTGGCTGAGCGAGCAGGATGTGGAAGAGGCGGAGGGGGAGGGGGGAGTACCGACGCGTAGCCGAGTAGCCGGTAGGTGACCGCCGGCAGCCCCGCGGCACGCCCCGCGCGCCCTGTGGCTGCCTATGCAAACGGCGGCACCGCACCGCGCCGTGCCTCGCCTCGCCGTGGCCACGCCTCAGCGGAGCGCGCCTCGGTGCGCTCGGTGCGCATGGGAGCGGGCAAGCCGGGCAAGCGGGCTACCGGGGCAGGGCACTTGACTTGACCCTCGCCGTCGCCAGCACGCCAGCCGCGGCACCGTCCAGTCCACTCCGCTTCGTACGGCGAGGAAGGTGCAGCCTACCTGTTGGGGGAGGGGGGGGGAGCCGGGTGGCGTCCGGTCAGGAACCTGATGTCAGAGGGGAGCTCGGCGAGCGCGGCGTGCCGCAGCGAGGAAAGGGTTCGCAGCGCCGCGGACGGCGCGGCGGACAAACAATGAACTACCAAGCACGCCGACGGCGAGACGGCGATGACGCGGGGGGACACGGGGGACGGCGACGCACTCGCGGGGGCGGGGCGGGCGGGGCGGGGCGGGGCGGGGCGGGGCGGGGCGGCCGCAGCCTCCGCCTGGAATGCAGTTGTTGGCCGCCTCCTTAGGGCCGCGAGGTGCGGACGCTGCGGACGGCGACCTGCGCCTTGCTGCTCTTGCTGGCCGATAACATCTCCGGGCGGCAGAAGAGGTACCTGCCCTGCCCTGCACAGCCATGCCAGCGGTACAGTTCGCGTCCGGCCGGCCGCAGGGGCCGCAGGCCATCCCGCGCGGCCCGGGGGGCGGGGAGGGGCCGGGGAGGGGGCAGGCTGCGCATAACTGCACGCTGCGGCGGTGGTTGTCTCGGTGCCCGCCGTGCCCGCCGTGCTCGCGGTGATGCCTTGGTGCCTTTGCCTTTATACTCGGCAGAGCCGCGCTGCGCCGGCTGCTCCCCGCGGTGTGGCACACAGTGTGGCGGCCGCGTCCCGCTGCAGCGGTCTCTGCCGCTCTCACGGGACGTTCCGCAGGGGTGCGAGAGAGAGGGAGCGACGGGGACCGTTCAAACTGGGGCTCTCCCCCGCCTTCTCGGCGATGGGATCGCGCTTTGGCGGCGAGGTGCGTCCTGCCGCGTCGCGCGAGTGCAAGCCACGGCGGCTCGCGGCGGGCTGCCC